ATTGAATGGTTCTGTTTCTCTCTTTATCTGAAATAGCTGCACCACTTTGGGGTTGTTTAATTGGTTGGAATTTGGGAAAAACGAAAACGAATTGCAACAGCACTGCAGAAGATGATCATTTACGCGTCTTTTGGATTCTGCAGGTGGAAAATGCTCACAGCAGGCAGAACTCAGTGGGGAGAATATCAACATTACTTATAAGCCCGATGGGACACACATAGCTGTTGGGAACAGGGTAAACTTTACAGTCTATTGTCATTGCTTGACCATTGTGTAGAATTCAATCTCCATGCTAAGTTTTTCCTTTAGTAATCTGTGTTTCTGTTGTTGTCAGTTTCCATGGATCCCTTATGGCAGGATAATTCTTCAATTAATATTTTGCGTCTTTGCTACCTTTTAGTAACTTAGAAGTATATGTCCATTTTTCTCACCCTGTTCTCATATATTATATAGGATGATGAACTGACAATCCTGGATGTTCGAAAATTTAAGATGATTCATAAGCGCAAGTTCAACTATGAGGTAATCTCTTGTTCCGTAATACTGAAAGTTCTCCTATTATCTGTTTAACAAATGTTAAAGGCAGTATAATTTGGGTCTCTGTCCCAAGGGAGGTTCAGAGCAACCACCTACTTCAATGATAACTTTACAAGTTTGTTGTTCTAGGCTAAGGGTTAAGGTAGCTGGTGTGCCTTATCTCTCTGCCTTTGTGTTTTTTGGGCTTTCTCTTGGGGCGGTGAGTGTTTCAGGCAAAGTTTAATCCCTCCTACATATTGATGTAGTTATTGGTCCTAGTTGTGCATAGCTGAACCATCTCAAATGACTTTCCCGATATGGAACCCACACAAGTTAGAAAATATATCATCATATAGCTCCTCAATTTCTACGTTTTTGGAGGATAAATATATACATAGAATTTTTCTTCTTTTTTCTATATGTCTTCACCATTGGTAGGTAATATTGCACCCATGCCCCAACTGTTACGTGAAGCTTGCATCTCTCTGCCTTTAAGGGAGGTGGGAGATACTGGTTGCAGACAACCCTTATCAGACTGACTTTCAACCAATCTTTTACCCTTATGATGTTGCCCTCCAACTTTAGATAGCTAACTAGCAGGTATTTCCCCATTGCTGAGCCCACCTCTTGGCTCAGTCACTTGAGTCGTGCAGCTTTGCACATATAAACTAGGGAGGAGAATTGTTTGTAACATGGACTTATAGATGTCTGGCCTAGTACGAGGAATTCCTCTGAATCATAGTTTTTTTATTTTTTATAATTTAATACATAGTGCTCCTTGATTGCTGTTCTTACTAGGTAAATGAGATCGCATGGAACATGACAGGAGATATGTTCTTTCTGACAACTGGGAATGGTGAGAACAATTAATGGGCAGGCAATTGGCCTTGTTGCAAATATGTATTTGATTTCAACATCTAATTTAGATGATGTATCTTCTCTATTGACTTGGAAATTTTATTCATTTATTGTTTATACTCATTCCCCAGGAACTGTTGAAGTGCTAGCATATCCATCCCTTCGAGCGGTTGACACCCTCATGGCTCATACAGCTGGTTGCTACTGCATCGCAATTGACCCACTAGGGAGGTGTGATTTATACCCGACTCATTGTTGTTGCTTATTTATTTCTGGTATACATGTTCTTTTTATATAAAATAGCAGTGTTGAGGTTCAGAACTCATTTTTTAAAGTCTTTCGTAGTGTCCTTTGTTTAAAAAATTATGTTATTGAAATTTTGAGGGTTACAGTTTTGAATAGAAATACTTAATTATGTAGCCCTTCTATTGAGGTGTCATGTAGGCAAACCCTTTTAACTTTTGCACCAGCCTTTTCCTACTATGGCAGATATTTTGCTGTTGGAAGTGCTGATTCCTTAGTAAGCCTTTGGGATATTAAGGAGATGCTCTGTGTGCGAACATTTACAAAACTGGAGTAAGTCACATCCTTTCCTTTTTGATTTGTTTGTGATCTTCACATGTGCAAGTTACATATTTTCACTGGGGAACTTTCCTGATATTTTCTTCAGACATTGGTTTTCTCCATCCTTGGGCATGGCTTGACCTTTTCTATCTTATTCTCAGATGGCCGGTCAGGACAATAAGCTTCAATCACACTGGAGAATATATTGCTTCTGCCAGTGAAGACCTGTTCATCGATATAGTATGTGTCTTTGCCCCTTTGGAACTTGTATAAGTTTTCTATATTCAGCAAAATTCATTGAGTCTTTATGTGAAACTCAGGTCAGGTAGGACTTATCTTTCCTAATTGAGTAATCATGCTCGTGTTCGTTATATTACAAGTTCTTCTCACTGCAATAGTTCTGTCTTCCTTTAGGAATGTAGAGCATAACAATCTGTTCAACAGCATTTGCTTTAGATGGCCAATATTTCGTAAATCAAAATTAGATTGCTAAGATCATCATACTGTTATTCAGAAAGAAGTTAGCTGAAGAATGCTTATGTTGCCATTTGAAACAGTCTAATGTCCAAACTGGACGATCAGTCCACCAAATTCCATGTCGAGCTGCTATGAACAGTGTGGAATGGAATCCAAAATACAATTTACTTGCGTATGCTGGAGACGATAAAAACAAATATCAGGCTGATGAAGGTATTTTAGCTTCTTGCCTCGAGTAGTAGCAACAAATGGGATCCCAGACAGGATATAACTCGAAATATTAAGTAGCTGTGATCGTGAGTTGTTTCAAGTTGTGGCCTACATGCTTTTCTGAATTCCTTTTGTGAAAACAGGTGTGTTCCGAGTATTTGGCTTTGAGAGTGCATAGCGAAAGGTTGCATGGGCTGCAGTGCAGTGGAGTTGAGAGTTCGGTTGGGGGCCGATGTTTTCCCTCCTGTGGCTCTTTCCATCTGAAGGGTATTTCTGTTGATGTTTATTTGTGTTGTACATTATTGTGTTCTAAAGTGAGGACACAAGCTTCCAAGCCATCAGACCAAGATGGTTCATCCCTCTAATAAGGGATAGGACAAAGTACGATTAACAAAGACACAAGGATTGAAGCCTGTGGAGTTATTTAAAGAAGTAAAAGTGTCTCAATTTAATCAAGTTCAAAGTGTTTGAAATTGAGCCACATTTGTAAAGGATAATCAATTCCAAGAAATCGAAATTTGACTTGTTTAAATTGTATCTTGACCTGATGTAATCTTCAGATTTACTACTGCACTGATGATGTAGAAAAACTTCTTAAAAACTCCGAGGATTAGCCCAGCGGAGACAAAGATGAGATATAAATTCACAAGTGGTGATTTTGAAATTTGGCAATTTTTGGGGGGTTAATTTATCAGGGATTTATTTTTCATAAATTTTTTAATTTTTGCATAAGTGATTTGTTTTTGAATGAACTTCTATTAGAGAAAAAAAAAAAAGAAAAAAGAATTGTGTAACGCAGCAATGCAAACATAGGGTTGACATAAATCTCTAAGTTGAAAACCAGTATGAATCTCCTTCGTTAACAAAAAGATGCCCCACTGAGTTTACCTTTTTGTGAAAACGAAACCAAAATAACAAGGTACCAATTGGAATTTAGTAACTTACTTCGTTAATTCCAACGACGAACAGCTGGCCAACTAAAAAATTTAATGGCCCAACTTACGCCACGTGTCAACCGACCAGCCTGCCTGTCTGACTGGTCACATCACCGAACCGGTACCAAGTATTTACCTTTCACTTTGGAACCTGAACCAGTTCTCCCCGACATGCAAACCTTGGAGTAATGTTATAAGAATTAATTTGGGGATTTAATTAGATATTTAATTTAAAATATCTGCTTTTAATATAATTATTAAATTAATTTGTTTGTTCTAACGTTAGCCCACTTTCAATCTAATAATATCAGTTACTATTAAAGTAATTCCAAATAGTCTTGTCCTAAAGGCTAATCCGTTGGGCAGGCCACCAAGTCAATTCAATAAGGGCCAATAATATATAGACCCTAAAGCTTTTAAAATTTTCATTTTAGCCCCTGAATAGAAATTTCATTTTATGGCCTTACAAGAATGAAATTTCATATTTAAATACTCCAAAAATATTCCAAACTACAAATATATAATACTATAGGACATTTGATTTCTATCATCAAAGATATCATAATGTTATTTTATTCCATAAAAATCATTTTCTAATTGGACCTTGTCTCATGAAAACTTATTTACATGATAATATGCCACGTTATTTATTCATTCGATGAGTGAGACTCATTCCCATACAAATTTATTATTTTTTTGTTTTTTGGGTAAATCATCTTAACGCATCAGAACAAAAAATACTACGATTTTTTATATATCAAACAAAAAGTAACACTTTGAATCCACAAGAAAAAATAGAGAAAAATTTTGAAATATAATATTATTTAATGATCAACTCGTAGTACAAATAAACAATACAAATAGAAACAATCAAAACTCTAATTGTTCCCAAAATAGAAGCAAATTCCTAAAAATTATGAAAAATATCAAAAAATATAAATATGCAATTTTCCTAATTAATATAAAAGCATATGTCGTCTGGAGTCCAAGGAAATTGACTACGTCAAATCTATAATTTATTATTATTTTTTAAATTTTTTCCAAAAATAATAAAAATAAGATTTTGAGGACCTAAATGATAAAATTTGGTTCAAAATTAAATGAGTTAATAGTTAGATGATGAGTCTTAATAGTTGACCAGATCCAGATCCAATTAAAACACCACTGGTTTCACTAAATTCAAAGTCCGACTTATTTTGTCTCTATTATTATTTTCTACCCTTCCGTTATTCTTTCAATAATAAATGATAGTTTATTTAAAAAAAAATAGAAAAAAATGTTTATTGGAGGGATCTGATCTGCTAATAAAAGCTTAGGGCATGATATGAAAAGTTTTAATCCTTGAAGGGTTAGAATAAAAGACTTCAAATCCTTAAGGAGATAAGATGCCATTCACCCATTGAATAATCCCTGTAGTTGTCCTTCTTCCACCGCCAGTACCGGTAACCAGTCAGTCTCCGACCAAATATCCGTCCAATGCCAATTTTCATCGCTCATTTCTTGTCACAAAAGAAAAGAAGACGCAGACTAATACGCAATGGACAAGTATATATAGACTCGAAGCTACATAGAGGGCTTTATCGAATTCGGAGGATTAAAATGCATCTGTACAACGCTTGGCTGCCACCGCCAGTGGTGGAGGAGACTAAGGGAGAAAAACAATCGTTCGCTTATGTGGTGACGGCTGTTAAGGAATCGTACCGACCGGACGATCCTGAATCTGTCTATTCCACTCTCAAATGGATTTCTGTCATTGACCTGTGAGTTCGAATTACTTACTACTACTTCTTCCTTCAATTTATGATATTCGTATATGTATGTGTTTGTGATTCTCGTGGAAACTGAACAAATTGTATGCTCTCTGCGTTTGATCACGCGCTAAAATTGCTGTTGTTCGTTCCTGTCCCAATAAAAGGTGCATATTTTGGCTTTGGAGAAGTTGTTGTAATACCATTGTATAAGTGTATTGCCTTTTGTTTATTAAAATCTGAACTTTGTAGACTGTTTTCTATTGTGAAAATAGTTAGTCGAGGGATCAATAATGCTGCTGAAAAAGAAAGAATGAATGGCAACAATTTCTTCATTGATTAAGAAAATAAATTTGACTCCATTGTTCATGATTGTATGCATGGCCGTTCAATTTGACTGTATTCTATGTGAATTGGTATAAAATTCGTTCTGTTGTTACTAATGAACATTAATCTTTGTGGCTGAATCATTTCCCCATTTTGAGGTACGAAATTAGGCAACTGTATTCTGTGTTTCTTTTAGAGTTAATCATTTGTCATATTTGTGTTAGGATTTAATATGATGATATTTTCCTTCTCATTAATTTATATTCAGTTTCATAAAGGCAAAAAGTGATGTATCTTTGGAAGACGTGGCTGCTGTTGTGGAAATTGGGTTAGAATTATTTGGAGTATCACAGAACAAACTTTACGTCCAGGTGCTGTTCCCAATCTCAGAAAGACTTCTCAGGAATGTTTACTCATAATCTATTTACTTTTTACTAAAACTATAGTCGCATTTGTATTGATAGGTTAGATGGGGAAATATCCTAGTGAAATTGTTGAACAAATACCGAAAGAAGTTGACATTGAAAATTCAGTGGCGTCCTCTCCATGATACTTTGATGCATGCACACTTCAAAAGGTCAGTTCTATGTTTGTACTTTACTGTTATACTACTCTTCCTTACTACATGGTTTGTTCAATGTACCATGGATATTGCACAACATGAATTATGCTCCCTTTGCACTCAAGGGGCATTCCATCTAAGGCTCTATGTTTGGATGCAATTTTTCATGGTGACTTCATTTTTCGATAATTTGTTTTTAAATCTATCTATATCAGTTACCACATTTTGAAATGGAACCCCTGAACATCTTGGTTTGTTTCATTCATTTATTATTTTGTATCATTGACATGTCAAAACATCCGCCTAGTTAGGGGTGGAGCCAAAAAAACTTGTTTCTGGGTGGGCACTATATATTTTAACAAGCGTAATTTTTTTCTTGTAATTGATAAAAATAGAATAATACATTTATATTTAATTATATCTTATTTAATTCTTAAAAGTTCATTAAACTTAAAAGACTAAAATTGTTGAACATAGTAGATACAAATGACCATAAAAAAAAAAGGGCTAATTTTATCATTTTACCAAACGAAGGCTAATCAAAACTATTTAGAATTGATTTTGATGAATTTTTATATGTTGAAAGTTTTGCATAAACTTTATTATTATTTATATTCACAATCATATACATAATAAAATATATTCTCTATCATATCGATGATAATTACTAAAATAAATGTTAAAATTATAAGTAAACTCATGGATATATCATACCTTTTCTGGTCTTGATTAAAAAATAAGGTGGGCACAATTTAATATATTGAAAAAATACTTAAAATATATATAAGTAATTTTAGAAAAAAAAATTTGAGGGTGGTGGCCCCCCCCCCCGGGCATTAGGTGGCTCCGCCCCTGTGCATAGTTAACCACAATTAACTGTATCTTGGGCTTCTTGTTCTTGTTGTTTGTGTATCTGAAAGCTATTTTCTGGTTACAGGAATACAGGCCCAGAAGGATGGAGATTGAGACAGCGACATTTTGAGACAGTTACTTCCCTTGTTCGATCCTGCCGGAGATTTTTCCCACCAGGTTCAGCCTGTGAGATATGGTCTGAATTTGGGTAATTTTCTGAATAACTGTCTTTACTTTAGTCATTCTCTTTATATTTAGAAGTTATACTGATGTTTCAAGTAATTAGCAGATCAATTAGTCTCATCTGTTTGGATTTTAAACTACTCTCCTTTGCAAAAGAGAGTATGCAGTGATCTGCCATTTTGGTTTAGTGATGGAATCATAACAATCTCTTTACATGTTGGCTTGAAAAAAGTGGTTTTTCTGAAGATGGCTCCTGATTTAAGCTTCCCCTCTGAGAAAAGGAAGATTCTTTAGTCAGTCATTTGAGTTTTATAACCACATATAGGTTTGATTTGTTTTGCTGCATGGAGTTATAATTACATCTGGATACAAGCAAAGTCAATCTAACATGTCTTCATTAGGTGTGAGGAGAGATAAACCAGTGTTCTCATAATGTATGTTGGTGATACTTTGCTTAGATTTGAAAATGAGTAATTTGGAAGCACAGATAGTAAAAGACTTCAACTCAACTCAACTCAACCTTGATCCGATTAGTTTGGATGGGCTTACATGAAACTGTCAGAATTCGATGCAGAAAAATTGGGCGCAAATGAAGTATTGTTTTAGTAATTGAAGTTATTATTCCTAAGGGCAATTTTCATCCGTGAAGAAGATATATGTTGCACTGACTGAGGGAGACTCATCTCTGGTAGCTGGCAGAAGCAGGCTGGCCCATTTGTAGTTTAGGTCTCTCAGGACAACTTATTCACTATTCAACTTGTTATGTTCATTTTTCTGCGGTAGTATTATAAGTTCATGCATGCTCTAGTAATTACTTATGTGATCTGCTAATAGAGGTGTCATTTATGCTTGAGGTGGTTTGATTGCTAGGGTATATGTTGGTGTAGGCTTAGCAGGGTCCATAAGTACTATAAGATAACTTATGGTTGTTTTACTAACTGGTGGAAATGCAGTGATTTGGAGGTTAAGGAATGTGTTAGTTGTTGCATGATTGGAAAAATCTAAACTTAGATCAATTGCTCATGGCAAGTACTAGTTGTGACTGATTACACTTAAACAATTTGATTTTTTTTTTTTTTTTTGGGGGGGGGGGGGGGGGGCTCTGCTTATATCTCATGAAATTATGCTAAACAATTTGGCATCAGTGTTGTGCACTGTCCACAGCAGCGTCATTGCTGATATTCTCACAAAAGACTAGATGTTCTACTTTTACTGTCTGGTTAGTAACTGGGTTCTGAAAATGTATATCCAACAATATAAGGGGGACATTTGATGGTTAGGATATTGTCGCGGAACATTTTAGTTGTTTTACTTTTAAAGAGTATTATTTATTTTTAGTAATTATCCTCATCTGATTCAGATTAAGGATGGAAGGGAACTTCAAGTTTTGGGTTTAAGTGTTAGTAATGAATGAGATTTTCTTTCTTATTTCTTATTTCTTCTTCTCATTGAGTGAAAACAATGCAGATCTCTGCTGGAAAATCCATGGCACAACTCAGCATTTGAGGGGTCTGGGTTTGTGAGACTGTTTCTTCCAGCAAATTTGGACAATCAGGACTTCTTTACACAGTAAGGAACGCCAATATTCTACTGTGGGATTCTTTATAGATTTTGACACGACTTACTAGTGCAAAGTATTTTTCTTTTGTTGTCATATCAGCGACTGGATCAAAATATGTTTCGATCAGTGGGATTCAATGCCCAATTGCCAGTTTTGGAACAGTCAATGGGCAGCTGTTACCGCTCGAGTAATAAAGAATTACCACTTCATTGACTGGGAGTGTTTCTTACCAACGCTTTTTAGTAGATACTTGAATATGTTTGAGGTGAGTGTCTGGTATGTATCAAATTGGTAACTTAATGCTGAGATGTTGGATAGGCCCCAATACTGATGTAAGTATATATTTTCTGTTATGCATTAATAATAGATTACGAAAATTAGAATTTGTGTCACACTCAATGTGTAGTTTTTTGGTTAGCTTCAATTCTACTAGCTTCAGGACTTGTTTCTACAGAAGGCTTGGGCTTAATAACTTCAGCACTTCTTGCTAAAAAAGCCCCGGGGTTTAATAATTTAGAAGAGGATAATCTTTTTTAGGTATGGGAACTGTAAAGCATGTTTAGGGCTGTAGGAGACATATGTAGTAGTGTATATGTGAATTATATGTTTTGTTTTACATTTAAATTCTTCAAGTTATCACAATGTTAAGTGCAATCCTAGGTTCCTGTGGCAAATGGGAGCGGATCATACCCTTTTTACGTGGATGTTCCGCAAAACACAAGGTTCTTATTCTCCAATAAAACAGTCACTCCATCAAAGGCCATTGCAAAATCGATTGTAAGACTCATATACTCATGCTTATAACTGGCAATGCTCAGAAATAGATATGAATCCCTCTTAATGGATCCCTATTCCTATATTATATTTCTGCCAATGCAGGTTTATTTATTAAAACCTGGTGGCTCTGTGCAACATCACTTTGAGAAATTGGTCAACCTCTTAGAACAGTTTGTTTCCTAAGATTTGTTGCTTACATCTCATTTCCAATGCATTTGTTTGTTTATAACATATATTTATCAGTTCTCTGTCTTTATTACTGTAGATATTACCACCCCTCTAATGGTGGTCGCTGGACTTACTCATTAGCTCGTTTTTTGTTCAACTTGGTAATTATGTTCCAGAAACGCTTGCAACACGAGCAACAGTAAGGAATTGTGCCTTGATGGTGGTATTAGGTAGTTCTGCATTCAATTTGGGATTCTTTGAGTTTTTTTAACTGAAGTGTTGGTTCAGGGGCGAAGATAACAGAAAAAAGGCAGATCTTTTCCTAGGACCATTGCAACGAGCTTCCTTTGTTAATGCCATGCTAATGTTAATTGATCGTGGTCAGTACAGCAAGAATGAACATCTTTCAGAAACAGTTGCTGCTGCAACTTCTATTTTGTCATATATAGAACCCTCTTTGGTTCTGCGATTTTTAGCATCTCGGTTCCATATGGCCCTAGAGACAGTAAGTGGTGTTGCAGGGTTTACCTTTTGTTGTAATTTTGACCACATCTTGACTTATACATATGTGAAATGTTGTTCCCATTCAAAACATCCTGAATTCATTTCACCAAATGATATGAAGGGATAGATCTGTTAAATAGAATTTGTTTTTACCGTTGAGTAGTGCCTGGCTGTTTGTCTGATTGCATTTTCTTCTTGTCTGGTCAGATGACAGCTACCCATCAGCTGAAGACTGCCCTGACATCAGTAGCATATTCTGGGCGATCTTTGTTTCTCACATCAATATCAGCTCTGCCAATGAAATCAGATGATGTTGGTGGTGCTGATGCATTCATTAATCTCCTGATAATTTCGTTATCCAATGCATTACTTGGCATGGATGCCAATGATCCACCCAAAACCTTGGCTACCATTCAATTGATTGGTTCCATATTTTCTAATGTAAGACCTATCACAGCATATATGAACCGCATGTGCATGGTTTGTGAGGCTTTTGATTAACTTTTTTTTTATTTCCAGATGGCTACACTGGAAGATAATATAGATGATATGTCCCTCATGCCAACAATTTGCTTTTCTGAATGGCTTGATGAGTTTTTGTATCGATTGTTTTCTTTACTTCAGCACTTGGAGCCTAGTAGTGCACTGTAAGCAATGATATTCAAATTCCAATTCATGCTTCACCTCTTTTGACTTAATGCAGTCTTACTTATTTACATTCTTACTACTCATATTGGTGTCAGTCTTGTTAACTTCCTTTGTGCATTTGTGTGAGAATGTGAGAATAAGTAGTTAGTGGCGCTGCAGGAATGAAGGCATCCATTCACCCGCACATTCAGGAACTTTCTTGGTTGAGGATGGTCCTTATTACTTCTGCATGTTAGAAATCTTGTTTGGCAGGCTTCCAAAATCACTATATAACCAGGTCTAGGATCTTGAATTTTGAATGTAACTCTCTCATTTTTTTTTTTTCATTTCTCTGGGATAAGATTGCATGAACTTTTTCAAAAATTTTTGAACAGGCTCTGAAAAAAATTTCCAACTTTGTGAAGACAAATATTCTTCCGGGTGCGATTGCAGAGGTTGGACTGCTTTGTTGTGCCTGTGTTCATTCAAACCCAGATGAGGCAGTTGTTGACCTTATTGAACCAATTCTTCTGTCTGCTATATCCTTTTTAAAAGGGACACCTATTACGGGTTTTGGAGGGAGAGGAACTCCTGGTGCCTCAGTTTTGAGCAAGGTTTTTTTTAGATGGTTTTTGTCCTTCATTTTATGTTTGAACCTGCATTATTAATGTTAGCTTGCTTTACCATGTTTTAATGAATGTTTATTGTATTTTTGCTAGGCAAAACCTACTCTTTCTCCGGCTCTTGAAACAGCAATTGATTATCAGTTGAGAGTATTATCACTTGCAATCACTTATGGAGGTCCTGCACTACTTCGTTACAAGGATCAATTCAAGGATGCTATTGTTTCTGCTTTTGATTCCCCATCTTGGAAGGTTTCTTTTTTCTGTTTTTGGCTTGTCATTCACTTTAGTATTGCCAATTCAATCTAATAGCCTAGTATGATGTGTACTTGGCTAAGCAAGAACACTTGAGAAGGGCCATGCAATGGATGCATGGTGGATCTTCACAAACACTTACTTGCATATCAGTATGTCGCACCTCGAATGTTCCATACGCAACATAAAAATGATGCTAATTTCTGGCTCTGGGTCAGCACTCCTAGACAACTTGTGATCGACAGACATTATACATTTTGGTATTGCTTCTATGTTTTTTTATTGGACTTTGAATCATAAAAGATACAAGTATGTAAGTAAAGCAAAATCCAGTTAAGGTTCATGTAAGTTTTAAAAGTTTGGCTGTATGAAATAGCATAATTAAGCTACATTAACATTTTACCAAATGAGAATGTGTGGGGGATAAGACAAGTTGTCATATTAATACGTCCATATGCAACTGAATAAGTATATAGGCATACATAATTGAAATGACCTGCATCTTTGCCACGGTGGTGTCCAATTTTCGTAAGACTTGGTTATTGAAGAGTCCAGGTTGTGTCTTTTCTACTTATATATCGTGTCTTTGTCCATGCAACATTTGTAAATAGATTGTTGTTGAACTAGTTTTTCAAAAGTTTTAGCAGTTCTTGGGGTTCATTAGTTTAGATGTTGACAACCTGTTATGATTTGACAGGTTAATATGGCTGGTGATCATGTTCTCCGATCTCTCCTTGGAAGCCTGATTCTTTATTATCCTATTGATCAGTACAAGTATGTCCTGAATTCTTTTGGTGGTTTGGATGATTGGTGTTGCACTGTCATGCATTATATATGCATTGTGCTTGTGTATCTACTTTTTGAGTACTATCCAGATAGACTTCCTGGATTCTCAGGTGTGCTTTCCGTCATTCTGCTGCTGCTGCATTAGAGGAATGGATCAGCACAAAAGATTTTTCAAATGATAGACCGTTGATGTGCCCAAAATGGCATGTCCCTAGTGACGAAGAAGTTCAGTTCGCAAATGAACTCTTAAAGCTTCATTTTGAGTCAGCTTTAGAAGACCTTCTGAGAATATGCCAAACCAAAATTCATTCTGATTCAGGTATTACCCAAATTCTTAAGTATTATCTTTCCTTAGTGCAATCTTTACTTCCTCTCTGGGACAGGTGTAGTTTGTGGTGGAGGTGATATTTTATTTAGCGAGTTTAGGTTCATGCTATTGCTACCTGCAAATTTTGTTCGAAATTTTGTTTTGGTGGGTCACAACTTACTTTGATTTGACATTGTCAAATAGTTTCTGTTACTAATTTGATTGTTATTATGATTATGATACTCCTATCTGACGATATACTGTTGACTGCCAAGGAAATGAGAAGGAGCACTTGAAAGTGACTCTTTTGCGAGTTGACTCTTCATTACAAGGTGTTTTGTCCTGTTTACCTGATTTCAGACCATCCCCTAGAAATGGGATGGTTGAAAATTCAGGGCATATTTCTTTCTTGATTGCTGGAGCAGCTGGTTCAACTGTTGGTAGCACTGAATTGAGGGAAAAAGCTGCTGATATCATCCATGCAGCTTGCAAGTAATTCCATTTCTTCTCCTCCTCCTCCCTTGTTCTTGCAAACTTAGAGAAATGTGCCTTACTGATCTCTTCAGTAATTTGCAGATACCTATTGGAGAAGAAATCTGATGACAGCATTCTGTTGCTTCTCATCATTCGTATTATGGATGCCTTAGGAAACTACGGTAATGGACCTTAGATCCAAATCATTTGCAGCCCCTTTTGTATGTTACTTCCTGTTTGACATCTTTCGTACCTTAACCTGGCATACAGGAAGTTCAGAATATGATGAGTGGGCAAGTCACCGACAGGCTTGGAAATCCGAATCTGCTGCCATAATAGAGCCTCCAATTAATTTTATTTCGTCATCCCATTCTAAAGGAAAGAGAAGGTAAAGAGTCCTATATTAAAATCTTACTCCATATTCTACTGGATGACACATCAAATTTGGCCTTTAAACTCCTATATTATGCTTCCATCCCAGGCCTCGGTGGGCACTTATTGACAAAGCGCACATGCATAATATGTGGAGATCATCGCAATCATCATATCATCTGTTTCGTACCAGTGGGAATATTTCTCCGTCAGACCATTTGGTTCTTTTGATGGATGATCTTCTTAACCTCTCCTTGCATAGCTATGAAACAGTTCGGATGTGAGTTCAGTACTCTTCTACCATTCTACTGTCGGAAAAAAACATTAGCACAGTCACTTTTGCTTTTTAAAAAAAAAACTGTGATCATACATTGTGACTGATAAGACATTTTTTCAGTATTAGCCACACTGCTAGATTCCTATTATGCACCTCATGAACTAGTAGGATGTTTGTTGTTTAAGTCTTTGCTCTAGAAACAAAGTTGTGGGATGATTATTGGCTTCTCATGGTGCAAATATTAGGCCTTTCCTAATTTATCAACCTTTCAGTTAATTCTGTAATGATAAGGTTTGCCTAATTGCTATGACAAGTTGAGACATGGTTTTTCTTATTTAATGATCATGGCTTTTTGCTGACAATCATATTGTGGCTAAAGGTTGGCAATCTAAGGTGAAGTTTCAGTATGTTGAGTTTTGATGATAGCTTAATAGCTTAGCTGCTCTTTTGTGGTTATTATTTGATAGGTTATAGTGTGTTGTTTATACACTGTTGAGCCGGTGCTAGACTTGAACTGAGGACCTTTTGGCCTTGAGTTGTTGGGAACAAGTTTTCTTTACATAATTTGCACGAGTTCCAAAAATGGTTGTAGACACTAGACATGAATTGGCAATATAAGAAACAGTCTGAAAAAAAATCCTGTTTTTCGTGGCGGTGTAATAAGAAATTCTATGAGAAGTGGTGAACCTGTTTACTCTATGGTTCCTCTGATCCTTCCTTGGTTGTATTTTGCCGATAAGAGTCATATTTAGGTGTTCTATATAGATTTGTCATATCTGATTTAAGTTTTTGAATTGGCCCTCAGACTTGCTGGGAAATCTGTAGTGAAAATGATGAAACGATGGCCACGTATGATTTCAAAGTGTGTGCTCACTCTTACTGAAATCTTGCTGAACCCCAGCTCACCAGAATACACAGTTTTAGGTTCTTGTGCTATCCTTTCTACGCAAACTGTTCTCAAACATCTGACTACGGTATTCCTCAGGCCCAAGTTACTTGAAGCATAATTTATCTGATGATTTACTCTTACACATCTTTGATCATCTTCCAATCCAGGATACCAAGGCGTTCTCATCATTTCTTCTTGGAATTCTTTCCAGGTAACACTAATTTGATACTGTATTGGTATTAGCTTGGGATTATTTTGTGGCACAGTGATAGCTATGTGATCTGTATCTTAATTTCTGTGTGTCTGCTTGAAGCTCCCATCATGAGTCGCTGAAAGAACAGAAAGCAATCAATGAGGTAGGATCTCATATAAGGTCATATAGAGCTCATAATTGTCTTTCATTACTATATCGTTATTTTTTGAGTTTGTGTTATGGGGGGTGTAATATTTCGGGAATGTTCACAGCTTTTTGTCAAATACAATATCCATTTTGCGGGAGTGTCTAGAAGCATTTTCAATTCATCTAGCAACCATTCAGAAGGAACGGATTTTGCGGCTTTGGTTTCTGCGATTGGTTCTATGAGTTTTGAATCCACCAACTTGCCCTGGCGGTAAGTTTTCTATTGTTTGAGCCAGTAATACTCAAATTCACATACTTGTTCTAATTGGTTGTGCTATTTTGCGCTACGTTGGCCTATTGGGTGGATTTGTTCAACCTATGGTCAACGAATTAGTACATGATCTGCAGACTCTGTCTACTGGCTACTGTCCAAAATTATTTATAATGCGGGCTTGGTGTTTCTTTTTTCCAGGTACAATCTGATGGCTAATAGAGTTCTGTTGTTGTTGGCTATGGCTTCTAGGAGTGATCCTAGTTCATCCTCAAAAATTTTGAGTGAAACTGCTGGTCAGTTTAAAGTGCATCCCATGGTTGTATCATAAATTAAGTTTTAACAAACTTCGTTTCTCAAATTAATATTCTTTCCCTCATTTTCTTCGTAATTATTATTAGCAACTTGAGGAGCAAAATAGATTCAACATTCTCGACATCGCAATTTTCTAATTTCAAGGCTTATGCTCCTTCTCAGGTCATTTCTTGAAGAATTTGAAAAGTCAACTTCCGCAGACCAGAATACTTGCAATCTCTGCTCTAAATACACTGTTGAAAGAATCACCTTACAAACTCTCAGCTGAGGATCAGACCAGTGTTTCTGCGGATTTACAGGGTCATACCAAGTTTTCTCTTGAAGAAGCTTTAAGTCATATTTTTCAGGAGGAGGGATTTTTTAATGATACTTTAAATAGTCTTTCCCATGTTCATATAACCACTGATACTGAAAGTGCGTCTTCCGGAGGAAATCATGGAAATTCTTCTTTTCAGAGTTTTGCTGACAAATCCATCACCCGTTTCTATTTTGACTTCTCAGCGTCATGGCCTCGTACTCCTAGTTGGATTTCGTTATTAGGGAGTGATACTTTTTACTCAAACTTTGCACGAATATTCAAGCGGCTCATTCAAGAGTGTGGGATGCCTGTTTTGCTGGCACTTAGAAGTGCATTGGAGGAGTTTGTTAATGCTAAGGAGAGGTCAAAGCAGTGCGTGGCTGCTGAGGCATTGGCTGGAGTGCTACATTCTGATGTCTCTGGTCTTTCAGAAGCATGGAACTGCTGGATGATGGCCCAATTTCAGAATATTATTCTTGCACGCTCTGTGGAATCCATTCCAGAGTGGGCAGCTTGTATACGTTACACAGTTACTGGGAAAGGAAAACATGGCACAACAGCTCCTCTTATGAGGCAAAGAATCATGGATTGTTTGATAAACCCTTTACCTCAAACTGCTAGTACCACTATTGTTGCCAAGCGCTACACTTTCCTTTCTGTTGCACTCATAGAAGTATCCCCACCGAGAATGCTAGCGGCTGAAATAAAGCTCCATAACAAACTTCTGGAGGAGTTGCTGGCCAATATGACACATCCCTCTGCACAGGTAGGCATTCTTCTCATCTTTTGGCCAATGTTGATGGAACACTTATTTTGATATAACTATATAGCCATGTGTCTTAGTGGGGTCTCTTCGCCCCATCTTATTGCCCAAAGTGCTCATATGGGGTCTCTGCACGGGTAGGTATTCTTTTCATCTTCTGCCCAATGTTGATAGAACACTTATTTTGATATAACTGTATAGCCATGTGTCTTAGGGAGTTGGAGGGTCTCTTTGGCCCATCTTATTGCCCAAAGTGCTCATATGGGTAAAGATGTTTAAATTGTTATGTGACCGTCTAGGTCCCCCCCCCAAAAAAAAAAAAAAAAAAACTAACTAAAAAAAAAATTGTCTTTTACAATACAAATATGTTGTTGCTTCACAGTCTGACTATTAATCTCAAAGTCTGCAACTAGATTGGTATGTGCATCATTGTTTACTACTGTAGCTAATTGATCAAGTCTCTTTTGTTGATTTTTTTGATTCTTTGGTTACAGCATAGTTCTGCCACCATAATTTGATTTCATAGTTCCACATTCAAATTTGATCAGTTTGTTTACCTTTTCGTCTTTTCCCCATCGTCTTTAATTTTCCCCTTCTACAAAACTCATTTCACCCCCACCCATTCTCAAATTTCATGAAAGACAAGATACTTTTGTATTTGACTCCCTGACTTGTCACTAATTCAAGATATCCTTTTATACCATTCTGCATCCCTCGAAAAACTCTTTATGAGACATCCTGTTTCCTGTTCTTCTCAAAAACTGTTTGAGAATTCCAAATTTCAAAGGTAAGGGAACTTTGAATGCTGAGATTGTATGCTTGAAGTGCAGCATAAATCTGTATGTGGCTGGATTATGTCAAAATATAAATAGATATTTTTTTCTCTGTTTTCTATTTTCCTAACATTTTATTCACCTATTTATTTGTAGTTTTGCAGCTGAGGGAGGGGAGGTCAATTCAAGATTTGTATCTTAATTCTTTCAAGTTAAATATTACGATTGGTTGATTTTTCTGTTTGTCATGGAAAATTCCTTTGCAGAAATGCTTTATGCTTGTACGCACATGAATAGTTTGTGAATTAAGCCCACGTTTGGAACTCTCGATATTGGTCAATTGCCTATGCATGAATGTATAACCATATCACTACTTGTTTAAGTTTCATTCATACTTCTTGTGATATAGGAGACATACAAAACATTATCCTCCCTTCCACATATTTTGATTAGTGATGTTGTTTTAGAATTGCAATTTGATGCAAGTTTTGTATCGAACAGGTGAGGGAATCAATTGGTGTTTCTCTTTCTGTGTTGTGCTCAAACCTTCGGCTTTATGCATCCTTCCCTCATAATCATTCAAATGAAGTGGGAAGTGGGGGTGTGGACAAAAAAATTGGAGTTAGTTGGGATCAATATCTGATAGGACAAGCATCTGAACTTGTGATGAATATCCAAAATACTAGCCCGTCTCACAGTTTAGTGGTCTCATCAGATACAGTTCTTGATATTGGTATATCCAATGGCAATGGTCAGGATGATGTTAAATGGATGGAAACGGTACTCTCTTTTTTGTTTTTTAAATACATTGAATTAAAGCAGTGATCATTTTTTATATCCTTGTTACTTGTAATGATCATATCTCTCTCTTAATGTGTAGTTATTCCATTTTGTTATCTCATCTTTGAAGTCTGGAAGATCGTTAGTCCTACTGGATGTTATTGTTGGACTTCTATACCCTATAATCGCCTTACAGGTGTGTAAATTGCAATTTTATTCAGTTCTATTCCTCGGTTTGTAAAATCTGCTTTCACATAGGTTTGGCCAATTATTGAACTAAACCAACTGAAGTATGGCATCTTGAACTCTTTCTCGAATACATAGTGTTCAATGGTAGAAAAAGCTAAGCATTTACATTCATAAACAACTCTACTTGTATTATGTTAATTTAGAATTGACAAAGAACAGTTTTGGTGGTGCATTTATTGGATTAGGTAGTGTTCACTATGATCCTGATTATTGGGCATTAGACCCTGTATTTATGTAATACTGTTGGTTCTTTGAAGGAAACATCACACAAAGATTTGTCAACACTAGCCAAGGCAGCTTTTGAATTGCTGAAGTGGCGGGTTTTGTGGGAACACCATCTCCAAAAAGCCGTATCTATTATTCTTTCTTTAGCCAATGATTCTAATTGGAGGACTAGATCTGCAACTCTGACATTTTTGCGGACTTTTATGTACAGGTATTGTACTTATTTTGTGGGTTCTGTTTCTCATTGATTCTTCTTTCATGGATAAAAAGCCCTAATACTTGGATTTGTCCTTTTATGTTTCTTTATACTTGTAATTATATACTTGGAAGACCATAGTCCTTTAAGAGCACTTTTGGATGACAAATTTTGAAAAATCTTTGAAATTTAACATGAAGGGATTTAGACAATTTTTTGTTTAGGTAAATTTCTTGGATCTAGATGTCTTTGATTCAAGCAAAAGTCATGGGATTCGTGCTTACTTTACAAATATATTATATCTTTATCAAATAATCAAGATAACTATGCCAAAAAATCTCTCGTGGATTTGATTGATAATGTTGGTCATACTTTGTTGGGCTCATTCTTTAACAACTTAGCATTAGAGCTATGGTTTCTTGAGGTCTTGTGTTCAAGTCTTACTGTCTTTGTTCCTCCATTATGTTTGTACATCGCGATGCATGACGTCCATGGTCCATGTGTACATGTCTATGCACTTGGATGTATGTCTCCTCCATGTATGAGTGCACTTCACACATGAAGGGCAGTGTTGAGAGCTTGATATATACTTTTGGATCCATTCTTTAACGAGGTAAGTATTTGGAGTAATTGGTAATTCAGCATATACAAAGAACGAGATTGATGTGAAAGATTATGAAGTTATGTGGAACCCTTAAACCACCATGAAGTTATGGATGGCTTGATTTGTTTTTTCCCAATAGAAAGTAGGGGGATGAAAAGATGGATGTCTTTGATATAATAAGGCAACTCAACAAGCAAAATTCTCTTCATTCCTGTCTTGAGAATTTTACAATGACACCTATTTTGATAGGATTTTGTTTGAGCATTTAGATGCCTTAAATCCATTCTTTTTTTTGATCAGGCCTTAAATCCCTTATTGACATCCTCAATAGGCTTCAAAATTCTCATATCTGCAACTAGGGATTCTGAAATTTTGATTTGGTCAAAAATTCCATGCCCTTGAATAAACTAATTTTTTTTTTTTTGAAAAAAAATTAGTTCCTACTCAATTAATCAAAGTTAGAACAAATTCATATCCGATTCATTGACAAGCATTATTGGACCCTTGCATATTTGAATTGAATGCAATCTTTTGTTCTGTTTAATGACCCTTGCATAAACTAAAACTATTTTTTTTTTTTTGGCAGTAAAAAGTTAGCTTGTAGTTGTCATGAAAATTTTGTCTAGAGAACGAATTGAAATCCATCTACTGGTCAACTCTAAAGGGTGAATCGATTTTTGTCATATGCACTTCGTTATGTCCTATATCCTCTTGTAGATGATTGTCTCGACTAAATTTCTTCTATTACACTGTTTGGTATCTTTGAAATGATGCTGTTGCAATCTAAGAGACATCTTATATAAACCATTGTCACTGTAAGTTGCATGCTTATTATATAACAGGCATACTTTTATCCTCTCTAATGTGGAGAAGCAGCAAATCTGGAAAATCGTTGAGAAGCTACTCACAGACAACCAAGTTGAGGCAAGTTTCTGGCTTTGTGTAATTAACATTTAACATTCAAAGTAATGTAAAATACACAATATAACTCAAGTCATGCAAGGAAGTCCATTTCTTTGTTCTGATAGCCAGTAACACGTTTTCATGCTAATTATATCCTAGAGACTGCAAGAACACAATTTCTGATTTCCTCACCTACTGGTTCTATATCAATAATAATTTTTGGTTTGGTACCTAAGCCCTCAAATGCAATGTAGGATGCAGAGATGCTGGTCATATGGGCTAATTAATTAAATATCTACATCCCTTTGAGGAGTTTACAACTCTTTATCGAGGACCAGAGTAAGGATCAAATTTTCATTTCGGTTCATAGTTTCAATCAATTTGGAAACAAAAATATTTCGAAAACACGATGGAAACAAAAAAAAAAAAATTTAAAAATTTATTTGCAAAACATTGATCGAAACATATTGAAACCCATGAAAATATACTGAAACACCTTGAAATATAGGAATTTAGATATTCAATTACTGATTTGATTTGGTTTCCATGAAAACAAAAACAATTTCGGCCGTTTCGAAACTCCTCAGACCAGAGTCTTTTGGCAAGAGGGGTTTGATCATGTCTAATTCATTGAGCTTACCTTTGGATCAGGTAAGAGAGCATGCTGCAGCAGTTTTAGCTGGCCTGATGAAGGGTGGGGATGAAGATCTAGCCAGAGACTTCCGTGGAAGAGCATACAGGGAAGCAAATATTTTGCAGAAAAAGAGAAAGCAGAGGTCATTTTCCTGAATTTGGGGTTTTCGTTGATGTTGGTTATTTGATTAATGACAGGAAAGGGATTTGGATTTTGGAATGGTGTGAACTACGTCACCCAAATTCAGATCCCTCAATCACCATATATGTTCTTAAACTTATTTTTTATATTTGTGCATTCTGATCTAAGAGTACATTTGAATTCAGAAGGGTGATTTCTGGGCAGTCCATAGCTTCCATACATGGTCCTGTACTTGCTTTGGCAGCTTGTGTATTATCAGTGCCTTATGATATGCCAAGGTATGCCCGTGGTCCAACATGAAAGATTTGCTTTATCATGTATAATGTACTTTACGGATTTTGTTGAAAAAATGGTTGAGATTCAGCAGTTGGTAATTTAGGTCACGCATGAATTGTGATATTTACAAATTTACTATTTATGAGTGACAATGAAGAGCTTGAAGACAATACTGGAAGATCCCAGTCCTGCCTAGACCTAGACCTGGTGATATGGGTTCTCATTTTGTCGAGTATGGCAGTTTGTCAATATAAGTGGTTTGCATCAAAGTGATACTTCTGAATCCACTGAATATTTTTTAAATTACACAGAAATCTTTCTAATATTTTAGTCAATAAAATGCTTTTAGGGATTCATCAGGGCAATAGGATTAGATGTGATTCAGTTGGGCAATGGATGCTGCTTCCAATCATTTTAGGGTTGCCAAAGCATGGGTTGGATTATCATCTTTACAGCAGTATGCGCTTTCGATTTACAGAGTCTTGTTTACTATTCAAAATACCTTGGGCATGTCTTGTTGAAAGCACCATGCCCAGACTCCAAGCCCATTATCAGCTTCAGGTTCAATTAAAAAAAGAAAAGAAAAGAAAAAGAATAGGCAAAACTAGCTGTTATTTTAGGTGTCCAGGTTTAGTACGGGAGAACAGCGATTGTTTTCTTTCTTTATGTTTGTCTGGCTCGCTTACTTGTCATGCTAAAATTTATCTTGTCTGCAAGGAGTCAGGGGTGTTCCTTTTGTGGAGGCTCATTTATCGTAGCTGCTCTTTGAATTGATGCTTATTGATTGATGTTCTGTGAAGTAAAATAGTGTCTTTTATCATTTGATTTTTATTTATTATAATTTTATCATTTTGTTACAGTTGGTTGCCTGAGCATGTAACTTTACTGGCTCATTTTGTGGGGGAGCCATCACCTGTGAAATCAACTGTTACAAAAGCAGTTGCAGAGTTTCGGCGGACCCATGCTGATACATGGAACGTTCAAAAAGAATCATTTAGTGAAGTGCAACTTGAGGTGCATTTTGTATAAATAATCGTATCTTTTTAACATGTTTTATTAGTGAGTTTGGGAATTGCTTCCTCAATTGTAAGTGTTTGTCCTCATCAATCTTTGCAGGTTCTGGCGGATACATCATCTTCATCATCGTACTTTGCTTGATTTACATTATCTCACGAGAGAAGGCAAATGATAGGGACATTCAGAATAACATTGTTACACAATATTTTGTATCATTGACAATAATGTCATAATTTAGAAACTATGTTTATTTACACTGTATCTGTTGCCATGAATTTATTATTTTCAATTATGTTGATATCCTTGCCCTTAGAATATTTTGTGTAAACTCCCCTAAACTATAGGATTCATCAGATCATCAGATGGTAAATCCCATAAGACGCAGTCTGAATTGAAAATGCTTGATCCACTTCTGGCCACTTTCCCACCCTCAGATCCCTCTCCATTTTCATCCTCAAGTCTCTCATGCAGACGGCCTTGCTGATCTCCTGCTGTGCATGTGCTTTCAGTGCACATACTCTGGCTCCATGGAGATCCATCCCCGTCATTGCAGAAAGATGAAGGGCCATAGTGAAATCCAGAGACAGATACCGGAAAAGCACTGCAGGCACCAGCAAAATTTGCAGATGTCATGCCAGTGGGGTCCCAAGGCTTGTTAGAAGGTACCATATCAGGCTCTTGTATTGCCCTTGATAATCCGAGCTTGATTTTCTCAATGGTGTCATCTTTTTCGTCATGTTTACTGGTACCATAAGTAACTATTGTGTTAACTGGTTCTGCAACAGATTGTTGCAGCTGGAAGTCGATACGCTTCTTGGTAAGGAGGTGAAGCATTTCATCTTTAAAGCAACCTAAGGCTGCTTCGGCCAGATGAGCAACCTGTGGTGGGGCTAGAGTGGTGGCAATCTCAGCCATGAGGTGGGAGAAGGGTTTGTGGGTAACTGGATCAATTCCCATGCCTGAAAGCTTCTTTTTAAGCTTGGTGTTCCAGTGATTCTTAACATCGTTGTCAGTTCGTCCAGGTAGCTGGGCAGCGATTAGCGACCAACTGTTACGAATAATCACATTCAGTGCAAGAATTAGATAACCAATTGTATGTCCTATGCATTGTATGAGAGTTTTTAGGGTAAATATCCGAAGAGAAGCATGATAGAAGAATTGAAACGAGGTATAGATCGATGACTGATGTACCGGTTCCCAACAACTGAATGAAGCTTCACAATAGTCTGCTCTTCTGAATCAGAGAATTGGCCGTGTTTGAGATCAGGTCGGAGGTAGTTAGTCCACCGTAGCCTACAGCTCTTCCCGCATCTTTGGAGACCTGACATGGTTGTATAATACAACTTTGAGTCGATTTTAAGCAATTACATTGTCATCTTTTATCACTGGCCAGGGGAAAAAAAATTAGGAACACAAACCAGCATTCTTGGGGATAAGGCGCCAGTTACGGGTGCCGTGTTGAGCAATGTAAGAAGAGAGCTTGTTGTCTTCTTCAGGTGTCCACTGTCCCCTCTTCACGTTGTCCTTCTCGCAGCACGGAATCCGGCCCATCTCTCTCTTCCCTTTAGCTTTGTCCTTAAGAAATTATACTGCTAGGAGACGAAGCTTTTTTAGGAATAGAATGACAGAAGACTAATCCAAGAAAAGAATAAGCCTCCCTTAGCCAAACCAATTCCTTTAAATTTCTGTATATCAAAAACCAGGACAGAGAACAATAAAAGAAACTCCTAGTTATGTTTTTTATTTTTTGGGAATTTTGTGAGTTTAAATAAATAGGGATATGTTATGTGGGAATGCAGTCATTAGATGGGAAAAAGGGTTATACATGGAGGGAGTTGCCATCAAAGGGGCATGATTTGATTAAAGAATTCAACGCCATTGAGCGTGTGAGAGATGGGCCGGTAGCTCACCCACAAGACGCCCGGTCAACTCCTCTCTCTCTCAGGTTGACTGCCTCTGGGTATGCAAAGAGTTGGGTGGCATTCTGATTTGGTCACACAAAACCAATTTGAACTTTGAAGTTGCATCTACTCGCGAAAGTTAAGGTTGTGCACGTGTGGGTGATTCCCACATTCCTGAAAACAATCTTCACTCACTTACACTGATATCTTTGTGTTTTGCTGTGTTATACAATTTCTTATCCTTTGCATGACAAAGCTTTCCAGAAAGAGTGGCTGGTGGGTGTAAGACTCGTGTTTCTTCTCATTTTGGGGCAACTCGTTGCCTTCCTAAGATAAAAAAATGACCCTGATAGTGATCACTTGGGATGACAATGCGTAAGTTTGACTTTTTTTAGACCCGCATTAACAGATGCCTTGTGCATTAAACTGTCTGAGGTTCACTTTGTAAGAACTGTGCTTGGCAGGTACTATTTGACACCGTACATTGTCAATAAAATATACACATAAAATATTGTACATTTTTATCTGACAAAATAAATTGTACAAAAATTATAGAATTATTATTTATCTATAATATTCGTTAATCATTTTACTTATATTGAATCTTAATTTGACACATTGATTACTCATGTTAACTAATCGTGTTATTTTTAAATTTTATGTTGAATTACTTTCAAGTGGTGCCCTGCCCGATAAGACAATGGTCCTGATCACTTCGGGATATGCACTGCACGTGTTATTTCTTTTAAGATAATCATTTGATTGTTTAACATTAGGGGCAAGTATGTGTCATGAGTTTGGGCTTATGAGGATGAATTTAGGTAAAATAATCCAACAGACTAGTAAAAATTCATTCCTGTAGCTTCCCACTTTCACCAAAAATGTATTCCACCTACAAATGTTAAGTCTCAATTTCCACTAGAAAAAGGCCTTCCCCTTAGCATGCCTACAGACAGGAAATTCCAAATTGGAATTCAAGGAATCCAATGCTATAAAAAAATTCCTCCACCAAGGCTCCACCCCATCCATTGTTTTCTCTTTATAATCTCTCTACCAAACATAAGAAAACTTGTAGGCCCCCATGTTTCTAAGCTTTTTACTAAAGAATCACTCTAACAAATACCAACGGAAAATATTTCTAAGCTCGTGGTATTGAATTCAAATATTATACTTGTCGAGTATAACATTTTTTACGTATCATGATATTTATGTTGATTTCCTGTGTTTAGTTCAACTATATCTTTCTGACCTCATAGTATTAGATCGATGAAATGTTCACCAGCTGCTGGAATTATTGAATCCCTGTGTGACTGTTAAGAATTGGTGTTGAATCATGATGTTGTTACAATACGTTGTATAGTTGATTGTTCGTATAGGCTGCCACTGAGTTCCATTATATCATTACTTTTCTGCCTTTTTATCTTTCTTTTCATTTATATATGTTTTTTTTTTTTGTTTAAGTGAAAGCATTTTCAGTGCTCTTTGTTTTTTTACTTATATAAGCACATGATTGAAAAGAATATATGGAAGAAGAAACCTACTCATGCTGTTTGATAGTTTTGGGTTTGTGTTTGTTCCATGTCTCGTTACAGTTTAACAAACCTTGATATCTTATTTTTACTGCCAAGACATTTTGTTGCTCCAAACTCCATAGTGTGGAAGACGTTTTGATATTTCAGTGAGTAGGGTTCGTAATAATGACAAAGTTGCAGCTTTACTTGTTGCTGTAGATAGTGTTGTCACGGAGTTTGTTCGTGTTTGGTCATGTGTTTTGATGGTTATGGTTGCTTTGTGGCCAATGAAAAAAGGAAAATGGAGAGAATCTAGGCCTAGAATCAATCAGCAAAGGATATACAACAATGAAACAGATGCATTACACAATGCTTCGTATACTTGTCTTCCATTTCAAAGCAAAATCAATGGTGATTGAATCCTTCTAATCTCTAATCCATAACCAAATAGAAGCATCGATAAAAATGAAATGACTATGTTAAGTATTAAGGATTAACAATATATTTAGCTGAACTTTGCGGTTAAAAGTCCCTCAATTGATCCAATCAAGGCAATCATTGTTACAAGCAAGCAAACAATGCTAAATATTTGAAGAACAATCCACTTTGATGTCCAGGCTCTAATATTCCTCTGCACACAATACATTTCCACCGGAAAATATATAGACAATGGCCAAAAGTTCAAGGCTCCTAACACTCCCAAGACCTGGTTGAAGTATGGGAAGATCATTGCAATTGCAGTTGTTGATGCAACATAAGCAGTTCGGAAACACAGCCGGAAAAGATTTAGTTTCAGAGTAGGCAACCAGGGGAGTTTGAGAGTGTAGTGACTATTGATAAAGTCACTGTCTGGGAACTTCTCACCAAACCATTTGTCTACAATCGCAAAGAATGGCTGACTGAATACCTAAAAACATACCCAAACAAGGTTTTTGGCCAGTTCAAAATCAAAAAGAAACAAAGAGATTAAGGGGTATTATGTCTGATATATGAAATTGGTACCTGATATCCTCCAACTAAGTGAATAACGATGCAAGCATTTGCAAAATCAATGAGCCAGTATGGCTCGTAGAATCCGAAACCAGTCAAGAGGTTCCCTGGAGTTTGATCACCAAAGGCTGCATATCCAAAGCCTCCACAGCAGAGGTAGAAAAATGTTGTAATACAGATTGCCATGGTGGAGGCCTTCTTCATGGTCTCATTTTCTGGTGGGGGTGACTTCAGAGTATCCTTTGATATTGTGTAATCTCTATTATTTATTGCATCAAAATAGAAAAAAAATTAAAAAAAATTTACTCAGAAGCCGGAAAAAAAAATGTTACCTGTATTTCCATGAGAATTATGGAGTATGGATAGGCAAAAGCAATATCCCCCAGTGCCTGAGAAACTGACCATACTTTCTGTGCTGCTGACATTGAGACTCCTTCAATGCTACCCTTCACTATTCCATCTCCTGTAATTACATGTTAATGAAGCTTAATGTTCGTTAAACTATTATTTACTCTAAAAGCCTAAGTTATGAGAGCATTTTCAAATTTAAACTTAATTTTAAATTTGAGTCAAAATGGCTTTAAAAACTTTTCCAACCTTTAGATTCAAATGTATATCAAATCAAAAAAAAATTTATTTTGAACTCAAATTGAGGGAGATTCAAATTCTATATCAAATATCTTAAGGTAACTTTTTATCCTATTTAAACTCAAAAGACTCATTCGACAGAACAAGTTTTTGCCTCTCTTGTCTCTATCTTCAAGGCCACTATCATCGTTGCCGACTACACTGCCTATTCTTGCCTATATTCTTCGCCGGTAAATTTTTACGCCTTCTATCTCTCTCTATCATCTTTCTCTCTCATAAACTCTCATTCTCAAAAGCTCTGTCACACACATATTCGATAAAAAAAGCTCACGAATTTACCACTCAAAAAGGTTGGTACTCTTGTCTTTTCTTGTGGTTAATATTAGTGAAGTTTGTAAGAAACAAGTTTTAATATTGGATAAAATATTTTGGTGGGAAAAAAAAAATGAGCTTTGGGACAGTAAGAATTTTAAAAAAAATTGAATAGATATTTGAGTTTGCTTATTAGAGTGTTCTATATCAAATTAAATTTATACTTAAATTTAAGTCATTGCTGGAGATGTTTTTAGAAAAGGTACAACTTTTAAGTATTTATAAATTGCAACCATGTTAACACAACTCAAGAGTAATAGAATCCCGAGCTAGTGTACCTATGACTTTTGCAGCCCCGAGTCCTATTCCAATGGTGGAATAGGCGAAGGACATGATCGCCGCGACAATTGAGAGCCATTGTATATTATGGAAATCTGGTGCTTGAGACATGACAACTTGAACAGCTCCAAACAACAGCATAAACAAACTATTTCCAAATTCACATGTAGCCTCATGCCCGTACTTGTGGTAACAGTTTGATATCTGTATCGCCCTGAAATTCGTTACAAGAATCAAAAACACAAAATAATGTTACATGCTTTTCAAAACACAGTGATCGATACTAGACCAGACAAATTAAAGTCTTCAGCTAAATTGGCCAAGATTTCACCTTCATAATCACTATAAAGATTAATCCATATTGATCATCCTGAATAAAAATAAGAAAAAATCACATACATTTTTCCTCCTCCTCTCTTCTCTTGAGCCTTTCTTTTTTCTTTGTTGTTGTTGAATATAGATGGAGGAGGATTTTTAGTAAAGGAAAAGTTGATGGTGGTGTGAAATTTTACCTCATGCTGGTAGCTGATGTAATGACGTAGGCAATTCCAGTCCCATATAAGTTTATTTGTATAAAAAGTCCACATACCCACGCAGTCTTTTCTCCTGAAAATGCCAGTTTAAGTGTCTATAGACAAGAAAATAGAACTAAGTGCTGAGATTAATTATAAATTTAAATGTTATGAGTTTAAATTTTGGTAATCTTTTAGGATTAGTTCATGAAAGATTTACCCTTCATGAATACTTTAGTCCCGGTATAAATGATATGCCTTTAACTGGACCGGATAGGGAATTAACAGAGATGCATATAAGTTAATTTACACACCTCTAACCATTAGACTATCTATATATATATATATTGGAAGAGACAAATTTAAACAAAAATTTTGGATGAAGAAAAAGTAAATGGTAGTAAGATCTTTTTAAAAAATTTCTCATATTAAGAGTCTGTTTCTTTTTTTTTTTTTTTCTGCAACTCTCATATATTACCATACGGGGATGGAGCCAGAAATTTACCGTAATAGGGGCAAATTTGAATAATAACATGATAAAAAAGATTGAACTAGTAATAACTTCAAAATCTTAAAATATTAATTAGTAATAATTCTATTCAGAACATTTGCAATATTTTCAACTAATGTTTTATTATTTGAAATTATTGTAAAATAATCTCATTACCAACGTAAAATGTGTTATTAAATACCGTGTGTTATGCTTGCCTAAAACTTTTAGTAAAAGCGGGTTCAAGTAACCCACTTTTTTTTTTTAAATACTATGCGTTATTTGAAAATCGGGGTTGTTAACTCTGTTTTTATTGTAAAAATGTGGATATTTACTTCACTTTTAACAAATACTATAATTTGATAAATAAGATTAAAATATCATAGATGGATAAATATGTTATATTTTGGTAAATAACTCCCTCACAGATCGACTCCGCCACTGTTACCATTGCATTATTGTCCACATAATTAGTGGCGTCAGCTCTGACCCGTTGATACGAACCCGATATTAATCCAACACGAACGATTATGAAATTGATACGATTATAAAATACGTTAGTCTAAATTAATGTTTAATATTTATAACACATTAAATAAATTATTTTTTCGTGGGTCTTAACATGAATAAGACATGATTAACATGACATATGAATCACACGAACACGACACGACTGACACCTCTACACATAACCACTTCATTTCCCAATTTTTCCTAATAATTCAACTCAATAACAAATTAGCCGCTTGGTTAGCATGGAAAGCAAAGAATTAGTACTTTAAAGGCATATTTGTTTTGAGTATAAAATTTAGGTGGTATAAGGTTTTATATCCATTCTACTCTAATCTAATAGTATATTATACCCGGTGTTAAAGTATAATCTCATCCTTCTCCTTGTTTGTTTATCACAAATATTATCTGTATAATACCTACTTAAAAAAGTCTGCGGCTAACCAATATAAAAGACAATTTTAACTTTTAAAAAGTCAAAAATTGTGGTTAGATTTTTATATGAGAATTGTACCGGAGGGCATTTCAATTTTTTTAGTTTATAATATCTATACTAAGAATATAATACCACTCCTAGGTGGTATTCATTAAGACCTTTTACAAGGCATTATGGCTACTGTTCATAGCGGATCAGTATTACGACCCGAAAAATAGTACTGACTATAAAATATCAAACAAACAACATATAAGATGAGTCTCACGTACTATTTTTCTAATACCAATTCTTTATACCACTCACACTCAAAGAAAAACGGTTCCTAAGAGATCTAAAGCGGAATAACTTACTATTTGTTGAAACTTTTAATCAATTCAATAATTATGGTAGATTCAGACGGTACTTACCTAAAGTGGTGTGAACAGCTTCGAGATAGGACCGATTTCTGATGGGACCATGTTCAGGATGGGGAGACCTGTGGCAGTTGGATAGAAGGAAGCTGGAAAGAAGGGTGACGAATGCGAAGAACAGCATGGACAATGGACCTGCGATCCACCCTAGCTGAGCCAAGCTCCACGCCAATGATAGTACACCCGACCCGATCACTCCAGTAATTATATGCGCCACAGCAGTCCACAAAGTTCCTTTCAATTTCAAATTCAAATTTCAAACCATCACACACATTACTTATATGTAGTATTCAGTAGTCATATCACATAATTGAAAATACTATGCAACATAATATTAAATTATTTAAATATTTGATATTATTATATTAATATGATTTGAGATTAATTTTTACTCATTATTTTACAAAAAAATTGACAATTTTTTTTAAAATACATGACTTTAAAAAATATTAATATGTGTAAACTATGGTACATGAAAAATGTCATAATTAATTAAAAATTAAATAAATAAATAAATAAATATGTAAGGGATATAAATTCAAAAAACTGTATGTTTTATTGGATATGTTATTAACTCAACAAATACTATGCCTTCAAAATTCCATAGAAATTAAGAACCAGAATTGATTTGTTGGTATTTTGAATGGATATTTGATTTTCAAAAGCAAAAACTAGGATAGTCTCAAAGTAATCTGGAAAGGGTTTCGACTAGAAAGTCGGTTCGATCCCATCCATACTTGGGTTTAAAAGAAAAGAGGAAAAAAACAAAAACCAACTATCCCTTTGTGTCTTCTTCCCTTTTCAATTTCTCCTTGGAAGCACTTTCGTGTTATCGTCGTCGTCATCATCATCGTTGTTAAAAAAAATATTGCCAAAAAGAAAAAAAAAAAAGAAGAAGAAAACAACGATAACAAGGTGTAAGATGTGGAAGACGAACCAGTTCTCTTGAAGGGAGGTTGGACTGGTGATGATGATGGAAAACCTGACCGAGACTGCAATAAAGGGTTCTCATGATCATGATTTTCTTCTTCTATTCCCATGATCTTCAGTGTTGTTCTGATCCCTTCTGTTTTGCCTGTGCTATGACTATCTTCTTCTTCAAAACTATGGCTTTACAAATACATATACAGTCAATGCAAGCAAAGTTAGCATCTAAAGGAAGGTATGGCCCACGTACTTGGTTGGAGTTTCTTACGCACTTTCTGTCGCGTCGTCATTTGTCCACCTAATTACTTCGATATTACAGTTTCTGTGTTTGGTTGGTATGACGTATAAGTTAAATTCATTTGTTTAACTCATATTCCTTCTATTTATCAAATTTGTTTCATATTAAATTTATGTCGGTGTATAAATCGTATTTTTTAAACATGTTTGATATGTAGTCAGGTATAACAATTTTATTTGTTATCCGAACCCAATGGGTGGTTAATTTTAAATTCATTAATTTTGTATTGAATTTACGAATCGTTTTTAAAATTCATAAGCCTGTATCGTTAGCTTCTTTCAAAATTTAATTTAGAAGGTTGGAGGATAGTGGATGGTTTTGAACTTGCAACCCCTACAATGGCAGGGGAGGGTGGCTAAAGAGGGATCTAGACTCTCTCTATTGTAATTTCACTCAGTTTTAGATCACTTATCATTAGTACGCATAAAATTCACTATTATCTAGTGGATCCGTCACCTATATACGGTGAATGATATATCATTAAGTCAAATTGATGAAATATAATGTAGAAGATCACAATCCGTTGGAAGGGCAACCGACCAAGACTAAAACTAGTTGGAAAAGTCAGGTGTCGTGACTGGCGACTATTGATTATAAGTATTTTGCTGCATTTTGGGTGGACTTTTCAAACCTAATCTGAAACATGTGAAAGAAGAGAACTTTCTGGGATTGTTCAACCATTATTTTCTTTTGCTGATTATATTAATTGCAGTGTCAACATCAAATTGTACGTTTGTGAAGAAATGGAGAGAGAAGCGTAAGAATTCAGACTCATTGGCAAGCCAAACATACAGATTATTCCAATTTGTCCCCAAGGCTATCCAATTGAATTGACAATTCATTACCCAACCACCACCCCAACTCAGATATCCTTTTGACAATTCACTTGCCAACTTGGGCTCAACCGAAATTTCGTCCCACAAATGAGTCGGTTAGGTGTTTTTGCTGAATTCTCCGGCATCTTATATATTCACATTCTAATGCAAAGCAAGCACTGGCAGTAGACGGAAAAAAAAATAGGGATTCGTCCAAAGTCATTTTGTTAGGATTAGAGATGTACCATACGTATTGAATAGTTGACAAATAAATACGAGAATGGACTGAATCGTATCCCCGCCCTGCCTTGGCCCGCCCCGCTAAGCCCGTACATATAGAATAAGACAGAATAATAATTGGATCCTATGGTGGACAATTTATCACAAAAAAAATATCCCACCCCAGTATTTGTTGAATTCTCCTACATCTTATATATTGGCATCCTAATGTAAAGCACAAAGGTTTTTTTTTGTCTGGACATGATACTAAAAAATGGAATTAGAAATAAATAAAAGAATACATCAGTTTTGTATTGTACCCTCAATCATAGATAAAAATGTCTAATTGTTCACATATATCCTTAATTAAAGGAATTCCAGTTGTCCAAGTATGATCTTAGTCATAGATACTCCAAGTCATTTGTTGGTACAAATTCTTGCACAACTCAAGAATTTTGGTTTACTTGGGTTAACTCTTTGGGCGACCCCCTCAATAGTCTTTACCTCTCAACCTCCTCCATTGAGGTCAAGGACTTATATGGTAAGGGAGAGACGACTCTCAGTAAATATGGGACGAAACTTCGCACGAGCACTGAGAGGTAAAGACTACCGGGGGTTACCCAAGGGGTTAATCCAAGTCAGCCCCAACAAGGAGTCCAAGTCAACCAAAATTCTTGAATTCAGAGTTGAGATCCAAACATGCGATTTCTACCCCTAACGTCATTTATGCTACATCATGAAGAGAAGTGACATATCCAGCTCAAGTGAGGAAGGTGGAACAAGCTCCTCTGATCACGTGCTGACTAGAATGATAAGAGCTGGGGCGAATCTACGGTGGGGCAGTTGCCCCCACTGCAATTTTTAAAACGTGTGGGCTATATTTAGAATTTTAAAAATTTAAGACATTGCCCCTACTTAAATATTATAAAAGTTCATGGGTAAGTTTGTATTTTACATACAAGTGTGACATCATTTGTCTTTGATTGACTTTTAGCTGTGAGCTCATATGTTTGGGATTTTCTATGAAAACAATAGAAAATTATGGAGTGATCCTACTCGCCAAAAAAATATTAAGCGATCTTGGCCGTTTATATACTTGATTTTTTAGATTTAACAGTTTTAAATGAAATAAAAATTTGATTAAACAAATTTGAATAGACGGGCATATCAGGGGATAAGGGTGTAACTCGAGCGGGTTGGGTTGGTTGAACAGTCAACCATAGGTATATAATTTTTAACTCTAATCCTACCTCGGATTGAGAGACTCAATCCGAGCACTGTTCGAGTTTAATTTGGGTGGGCTCAGGTTGAATTCGACTTAATAATTTCGGACTACTTTACAGGTTTAATTTGAGATGAATTCAAAATAAACTTATTGTTCTAAATCTAATACATATATGCACGGGATAATTTCTGCAATAGTTTGAGATAGCGACCTTTAGCCTGATAAATCTGCAATAACCACAGGGTCAAAAAAAATGGGGTCAGGTGAACACTTGACTAATCCCCTCCGAAACTTAAGTCAGTGTAAGGTCAGAGGTTCAAGCTCAATGAATTTTCTATTATGGTTTAATATTGCGTATCTTTGTTTTCTTTTCTGAGGAGTATTTATTTTCGGATTAACAATGATTGCCTAAAGACCTGATTACGCCCAAAGAATAACGCGGTAATTGTAGCACAGTTTTGGGGTGTCGATTCCACATAGAGACAAATTAAAAGAATAATATAATGAATAAAGAAATTCAAGAAAAAAAAATATTAAATGATTACTGGATAATAAATATTAATTTTACATACAAATTAAAGTGAAGCAAAGTGACTAACGGAAAAAATATTCAAATTTGACAAACAGTAAAGCGTTGGGAATCCCTAACACAAATCTGATATTTTAATTATTCTTAATTCATTGAACAACCCAATTGAGAATTTAATTCTCAAAATTTCCAATCGAAAGATATAAATTTATAAACCAAGATTAAACTCAATATAACACTTTGAAATATCATTCACCACTTTTAAAATACGTAAATTATTATCACTATTGAGAAAATTTAACGACGATAATATACTCAAGAGGTAATATTGGAACAAATAATTAAATCAATGTAGATAAATAATTGGTCCAAACATAATTAAAGAATTAATCCATTCAATAGAAAAAGTATGACTGAATTTATAAACAGAATAAATTCTATGACTATTCGGAGACAAAAATATCAACAATAAATTGAGATTGATAAAAATAAAAGAGTTTTAGTAATTAAAAATTAACTGCATAAATTAAAAATAAATAAAATATTATCTACTGTTCAAGTTTATCCCCCGCCTTGGGAATTTAGTTAGTCATAAATATGATAAGGAACAAAAATCTCCCAAAAAAAATCGAGCAAAGCAGCCATCGGTATTTTTTTTTTTTTGATCTGAACTGCGTCTCTGTTTTTCTTCGCAACCACCGGACAAGAAAAAGCCAGTCGCCACCTCCAAAGCAAAAATATATAGGTTTCTATCACTTTTTGAAAAAAATACATTTTTTCCCCTCTTTACTCCGGTCTTTCTACTTCACCTCCTCTTGATTCCAACTTTTTTACTCCGACCCCTAAAACCCAAATCTTGTGCAATTTGATAAAGATGAAGCCTAATAAAACTAATAAGTGCCGGGCCCACGTGACAGGCCTTTTTACTCCATGGACTGCCATTAAAATAAAAACAAATATAAAAACTCAATAATAAAATTCTTAAACTATTAAATATAAAGTCTAATTGTAAATTATTTTTCACCAAATTATAATGCAATATTTAAGATTTAAAATATTATAAAATCATGCTCAAATATATCTCAATGTGAATAGATATTAAATTCAATAATATAAATTATATTTAATTATTTCTATTCATATTTTAGCACTTTAATCCAATAATAAGGTATTTAGAATACATTTTCGCGCACTCATCAAGACCTAAAGTCTCATCTGAACATTTAATATTTGACACACCTCCTCCTGCGAAATGAGTGTTCTCTACTCAAGTCTTCTCCTACTCAATGCTAGGATAATAGGACAGTGCTCGGCTCCATGCCGAGCATTTATGCCTGTCCCCCGAGTACCCACATCCCTTAGATCGGTGTTTGACACCAACAACTGAACATTAAATACTTGGGAGAACAGTTCCTCAGGGAGAGTCGAACGTGTACCTTCAACGTAATAGCCACCTATGCCTAGCCATCATGATAATAGGCTCAGGCTCTCAAGGTGCAAACGCTCTTTAATATCTGATCACCATCACTCATATCGCCATAATGAGTAATTAAGTCGTATTAAATGTGTTGCTAATTGTCGTACTCGATTTCTCTGAGCCATAATCTTTCGACTTATCTACTCAACGATTATCGGGCCTTTGCAATAGATCCATTTTCACACGTGTCAGTCTAGGAACCGCAAGACCATTTAAAGGTCTCTCCAATATATTACATAATATTCATCTAAATTAACAACCAACAACTTCAATCAAGTTTTTAACATAAAAATCATAATACTAAAAACTCAATGTTTGAGATAATGCAACCATAATCATATAGAACACAAATAAACATAGTCAAAATCTCTATACAAACATAGAAAGCGCACAATGAAGACTTCAGAAAAAATTAACTCTAGACTTAAAAATGTATTTATATGATTATGAATATTCGGGTTGAACTCGATTTTAATATTCGGGTGCAACCCAATAACCCAAAGGGTCAACCTAAGGTCCGCTCAAATTGAATTCGAGTTGGAGTTTTTTGACTCAAGTTCAACCAAGTATTAAAAATTTTAGCTCAAGCCTTAATTTTTTTAAATTGGGCTCGGTTGAAATCAGGTTAGTCCGCCCAAATTTCACCCCCTGTTAGGGGATGCGCCAACACGAATCAATTTAGATCACATTCAATTTCTTTTTTCCAAGAACAACAAAATATTTTTTATTTAGATAAATCTGAGAAACTATTTTTTGGATTTTACAGTTGATCTTGAATTAAAATAATTGATTTTAATATTTAGGATTGATTTCAAGTATCTCAAAAATTATGATTTGATCAAAAAAAATTGTAACTTGAATCTTAAAAGTTGTAACATGACTCATAAAAGTTGTAATTTTGTAGAATTTATGTTTTTTCTTTTTTGTAAAAAAACTCAAAATTTTATATAACAACCCACAAGGTTTATAAATTTCAGTATCGTAGCCCCATTGATATCAAAGCTGAATTTCAACTCTAAATATCATCTACAAACATGACACAAAATTAACTAATAATTAAATTGCCCCCACAACTAAAAAAGTCTGGCTCTGCCCCTCGATAAGACGTCATCCTAATGCAGAATGACCTTGTAGTATGATCTTCCATAAGGATGGATGACCACAACATATTCAAGCTTAATGGTAGGTCACAATGCCATCTCCTTCTAGAGGGTGACGTTACACTTAGAGAATGTAGCGTTTAACAACACAATATTTTCAACAAAATCTTAACAAACTTGGAAATCATATAATTATAACGTGAGGACCACCCCTATTACCAGTGTAAAGACGTTAAAAAAATGAATTATAATCTCTACAATTGTAATTCTACCTTCTTCATCAAGTAATAAAAAACCTCATAAGAACATGATCCTCCGTTAGAGCGGATTAACCAAAATTTTCAGCTGATAAACCAGTATAATCCATGTGTTGTGACTTGTCTTTAGCACGTACCATTGTTCTCATTATTCACTCACACACTATTGTTTACAAGCCTTAAACTTAATAATGATTAAGTTTAAGAATGACAGAAAATTAAGACTCGAGAAAATTATCGTAAAATAATAAAATTAATTTTTATTTAGTCAAAACAAAATTTAAACAAAAAGACATCAAATAATTTTTCTAATACATTTTAACCCAATTAACGTTCTGTAAAATTTTGTATATTAGTTAATGTTAATTTTTCACTAGTATTCTATCAATGGAAACAATCACAAGTTCGCAGTAAAATCATTCTTCATTTAGTTGTAAAAATTAGTTGAGATCATTATCGATCTTATAGAGAAATTTCCTATTCAAAATAACTTGAAATATTTTTGAGTTACAACGTTTTATCTTTTATATACAATCGTATTTTATTAGATTATAGACTACTATATACTAAAAAAAATAGTAAATGATAACTAAAAAGTATTCTTAAAAAATAGCGAATTTTATGTTAGATAAAGAGAAATTTTTTTTTTTGGTCAATATACAATTAAATCAGGATAGTTGCATTTGATATATTCAATTCAAAAATAAAACATTTATTTTAGAGGATTATCAGATCACTAATTTATTCAAAAAAGAAAAGATTAGAACTATTATTGAAATTTTAGGGAGCAAATTTAAATAATTTTATGGGTCTTTATCAAAGGTGGTCAAAAAGTGAGGGGATGCAAGTGCCCTCCGTGGTTCCCATGTGACTCAGCACTTACGTTGATGCTGGTTTTCTATTTAATATTATTGTTAGGAAGTTAAAATTTTAACTTATAGTATAAAATTAATCACAAAATAACAATTAAGATTATTATTATTTTTATTTGCTTTTATCAAATAGTATAAAATTAATCACAAAATATTATTACCTGCTTAATAACATCTTTTATGCACGACCTCAATGTCATTCAAGTCAACTAATTCTACAAATTCTCACCTACTTCTTTCTTCTCTCTCCCACATATCTCTCTTATTTTCTATTAGTTCACTTTAATTTTAAATTAATTAATTAAAATAAATCAATAAATAAATAATTTTTTATTTAAAATAAAAATGGCATACCATTAATATTCGATTGTTTGTATTGTGGAGTATTTTCATGTCCAAGGTTATTTCTAATCCTTTTACAAAGCACGTTCTCCCCAAAATAGATCGAAATTAGGATAAATTTCAAACCATCTAAAAGGAATATGATTTCAAAAACAATGAATTAATTATGGAGCAAATTTCATTTTCACATTCTATATTTGAAACTAGCAATGAAAAAAATTGAATAAAATTTCGATCAAATTTAAATAACTTAATTGAGTTCAATTTTATCAAATATATACTCAATTTCTTTATTCATATACATGTTTTTCGAACTACACTATAATCGAATCGGATATTCATACATTTTAATTTGAGTCGGTGAAATATGGAATTAAAAATTTGGATTCGGGTTTGAATTATTGATCAACAAAACAACTTATGTCCAATTAGTTGGATTCAAATGATACTCATTCTACACATGGAAGTGTGAAACTACGAGGGATATAATGTATAACTATTCCTTTAAAAACGACGACGTTCTCCTGGGCGCGCTCCGTTCTTTTGAGACCTCTTTAAAAACGATTTTTGCTTCAAGCCCTAGTCTCACATTCTTCGTTTCCTTCCTACAACAATGAAGCTCGTAAGGTGTGTTCAGTGTTTGTCCTCTTTTCTCTCTTCCTCTTTTCCTTGTTCCTGATCGGTTTTCCAAGCAGTAATCTGATTTTTTTTTTGTTTTGTAGGTTTTTGATGAAATTGAACAATGAGACGGTCTCAATCGAACTCAAGAACGGCACTGTTGTTCACGGCACCATCACTGGTACTCTCTATCTCTCTCAAATTCATTTAAATTCTTTATATGCAATTGCTAGAACCTGGGCCTTGTTGTACTTTGAGTATTGTTGTTGTTGTCCTAGATTTTTGTGGAGTTTAAGAAATTATTGGGAAAAAGTATATGCTAAGCAAATGCCATGGGTGTTTGGGCTGCTTTAGTTTAATTAACCCAGTCCTCTTTCTCACTTTTCCAGCTTTTGCCCCATTAAAAATCCCCCCACCTTAGGAGGGGTCAGGGTGGTTCTTTTTTTTTTTTTTTGGAGGCTTCACGAGGATTGGATCATCTTTTTAGTGGTTAAACCCCATAGATTTTAAAGGAGTGTGTTTACTACTTTTCTTCTTTAATTAGTAGTGATTGAGTGATATCTTTCTAGCAATTTATTTGCCAAGCAATGCAATGTTGCAATAGATGAAGCTGCTTTACCTTAAACAATTATTAGCATTGTCTAAGGATAGATGCTTCTTTGACGTGTTCCCCCTTTTTGGCTTACTTGGGATGTTAGAGCATTGTCTTATATCTCTGTTAAAGTTTCTTCCAGTACTATAACACCTTTGAGGTTTGACATCATAAATGTTTCATGAAGTTTGACATTGGTTTTAATTTGCTCCCTCAACTTCATTTTTTTTTCAATTTTAACCTTCCAACTCTTAAAATTGAAACAATTGACCCCTTCCATTAATTTCTCATGGTAAAACAAACTGAGACACGAGACAGCCACAAATGATAGCATGTGAGTTCTATCAGGGGCAGAGTAGAAAATTTATTTTGACTGTTATGTACATCTGTCTCTCTCTCTCTCTCTCACACACACACATTCCCTATGCTAATAATCTTTCTCTCTACCAATAAAAACCGAAAATTTAGACACCATTCGGCCTCCTCCATGCATCCCCATCCCTCTAGAGAAGCCCCTCCCTAAATTGGTAAGTATCACTTTTTTTTTCTGTAATCTTTGTGACTGGTTCATGGATGGAATTTGTTTAGTGAGCTTCTCAATGCTATAAAATTGAGTATGTTTTACCAACCTCAGAGTTTGAGCTTTTACAGGAACCATCATTTTAATGTGGTCTCTTTGCCAAATAAATCTATAAGGAAAGCTCAATGTTTTAGAAACACATAAAAGAAGCCAGTCTAAATGTCTAATACATTTTGTTGAACTCAGTGAGGTGGAAAGCCTATAACCACTGTGTACATCATTTGAACCTTCTTATTCTAGCCCAACGATGCCCTAGTGGTAGCACGAGAACTGGATTTTTGACTTTTTACTATTGTGCTCTGGAGCAAGAGAAATGCCCAAGTTTTTAAATGTGTAATCCAAACTCCTAAATCCTAATGTAGCCACTGACTCACTGTTGATTATCAGCATGATCCCAGTCATCCTCATAATTGCATTTTTCTTCTTTATCTGCTTTGTTTAATTTACATATTTGTTTCCACATTTCTGTCCTCACAGGCCTGTCTGAACTCGATCTTTTTTTCTGTTTTTGAGTCCTGTACTATAGAAAAAGTCTATGCTCCAAGTTAAGGTTTTAGTTGTATGGATTTCATGCAATGCAAGTGACAGACTGCCATGCTGTCACGTTCAATCAATTTTTTTTGCCATGGGGTTTATGCCTTCCACAAGCATCTTGAACTAGATCGAATTAGAGAAACCATTTTAAGACAGTCATGTTTTCTTCCACATGAAGAGCTGCACATACAAACTTGAGACATTAATTTTGAACCCCATTTTTTGACTGTTCTTTTTGCTGGTTTATTGTAGGTGTGGATATTAGTATGAACACACATTTGAAAACAGTGAAATTAACTCTGAAGGGGAAAAACCCTGTAACTCTTGATCATCTAAGTGTTAGGGGCACCAACATTCGTTATTATATCCTTCCTGACAGCTTAAATCTTGAAACTTTACTTGTGGAGGAGGCACCTAGAGTCAAGCCCAAGAAGCCAACTGCAGGTATTGCACAGTTCTCTCTTGCTTCATTTTCCATACATTTTGATGGCTGTAGGTTTCCCTTGTTTTTTACTGGCTTTGATCTTCTCTTTTAATTTCAGGGAGGGCTTTGGGACGTGGTCGGGGCAGAGGGCGTGGGCGTGGACGTGGACGGGGCCGTTAGGTATGTTGTGGTGTTCCAATTTTTGCAACATCTTTCTATGTAGTAACCTTCTGTTGTATGGAGATTGGATTGGCTGTCTATTCATGATCTTTTGGAAATAGAAGGGTGAATTGCTGTTTACTCTTTTTATGATACTATGACCTTAATATGATTAGGGTTGATACTCTAATGCTGTCACTGGGAACAGCTATTTCCTCATATTCGTTGACATAATTCTGCAGGAGCCGTTTTAATTACAATAGGTTATCCATACAGCTAATGGCAGTGATATGTTCTTTTGTTGTGTTTATCATCTCTTTTTGCTGTTTTTTTTTTGGGGGGAGGGGGGAGGAGAGACTTGAACTCTTGACCTAAAGAAGACAAATGCTCCTTTTGCTGTTTATAGGTCAATTTGTGCGTTTGATTCATGTCTCAATCTGTTTGGGTGAATTTTATATATTTGTCATATGTACTATACTAAAATTGATTAAAACCCGTAGATTTGGGGTTTTTTGATTTCTAACCATTAATTGTAAAAATAATAAAATAATAAACAAAAAAAACCTTACATGTCTCAAAAATTTAATACACAAATGAGTATCATCAGAACAATGAGACTTCTTATCTTGCTGACTAATTCCTCCTTTAGGATTGACCATTTTAAATCTGACCAATTATGATAAAACTATAAATTAACAAAATGTAAACCATCAGCAATGGGACCTCGTTATTCAAAACCCTAGATAACGATAATTCTGTAGGGCTCAATGTGGATGATGATGTGTGATTTAGGGTTTTGCTTGTCCTCAGAGTCGAAATAATCCTGTTCCCAGGCATGGTTCTCTCTCTCTCTCTCTCCAAACACTCCATCTCTCTAGATTTAAGAGGTTTTAGGTGTCTCCGTGTCTAGGTTTGGCAGCTGTAAAATCTCTGGTGAGGTTTAAGAATGAACCGGCCAGTTCACTGATAAGCGTGGACCACTCTTACTGCCAATCTCGCCGGTATAAGCATATATTTGATGGGCCTCCTGATTGTGCTAGTACGTTCCTTCGTTATCAAAAAAGCCCACCAACTAATTCCCACAGCTAGCCCAATTAAAATAGGAGTTGGGATGAAAACTCTGTTCAGTGGGGCTACTTTCAATCCATTCATACCATCTCATAAATCCTATAATTTCAAAACTATAATTCACATCTTATTCTATACACATTCCATCAGTGATTAAGTTCACCTGATCGATACAGATCCATTAAAGTATTTAGTATATTCTTTCAATCTCATTATACATACATGCCTCAAATGTATACTTTTGTTAACCCTATATCTTTCAAACCAAAGTTTCTTCTCCCATTCCCCCTTATACACTCCACACACACACAAAAAAAAACGTTTTGAATGGTATGGGGTCATGGCGTGGGGAAAGTTCAATTCTTCAAATTAGATTGAATCTTTGAAGATTAAACAAACCAGGTTTGGTTTGTAAGCAGTTCTTGAGCATTAGTACAAAATTGGAGAAGATTAATACAAGGTTGATAACTAAGGACCAAAATTCTCAAAAGTAAAACATTAGGTTGGACTGACCGCCATGTGCAATTCTCTATTTTTAGCCAGAATCATACATCTGCACAAGGTTGGGCTCATCCAAACGTTTCCATCTGGCTCTCTTTTAACGGAAACGACATGATCTATATGATTCCCTAATCTACTATTATATTCTCAAAACTATGGTTTATGTACCTAACAAGCCACAGACTCATCGTATGTCTGCCACGAAACTCACTTTCCTGAAGAAGAAGAGTTAGTTTATCAACCATGGCCGGCACCAAATGTTGTCCTTTTCGACTCTGACAAAAACACACCATGTGAGCCACAATCTAATATTTTCACGTATATTTGTATACTCAGTATATCCAGACATCTTCGATAAATCTATCATGAATATTTTAAGTTCCGACATAGATGGTTTGCTTTTGATTGGATTGGAAAAGAGATTAGTCGAGATGCGCGTAAGCTGACCCAAACACTTGTTATCATTGAATCACAAAAAACAAACTGAGGTGCAAGCAAACGCTAATAGCAAAGAAATATCATAAGGTTGAAGCATGAGTGTAGGATTGAATTCTGTTGGGACTATCAAATCCAGTCGTTGGATGAATATAATATGAAACATCATATCCACTACTCTGAAATGTTGCGTGCATTAGCCCAAATGATTTCCAATTTAATAATGTATAATCCTTGGGGCATCACACAAGTCAGTAATCCCAACCAATAATCCTTCGTCTTTTTTTTTTTAATTAAATCACACTATTTTTTGTACGGTACATTAAATAAAGAGAGTTAGTGGCAGAGCATTATTTTTTATTCTCAATCAATTATATTCAGTGGAGACACCATTCATTGAATTAACTCTTAAAAAATTTTATATTAGTTGATGAAACCATATAGTATTATTATTATATGAGTCTTACAAAGGAAAGATAAGATTGAATGATTTTTCCTTGTGCCAATCTCCATCTGTGTCCCCATCATACTGTCATCAGATTCTGGTTTGTAGATAAAACCTCTCTTCCATTCACCAGTAATAGAAGAGACGGAGTAGAATTTAGTTTATTGTTTCCTTTCTTTACTCTCTAACTCTTTCTTCAATAATTGCCAACAAAAAAAAAGGCTACGACCCTAAAACCGTCTAGAAGCTTTGGCTCGTGCAAGCCACGTCATAGTTAGGATTTAGGATTGATAATTCTATCCATATCTATATTAGCAATGTAATACGACATGAAATTTTTTGTTAAAATATTTAATAAAATACATAAAAATTTAATTGTACAGTTAAATTAGATATTATCGCACATTTATCATATTTAAATTATTTATATTGTGGATAAAGAGAAAAAAAAATACATATGTTAATTTTTGGACATCGAAAATGATAAAATTGTCGATGTATATTAATATTAGGGCTTTGAAAAAAAAGAATAATATTTGTTAGTTTGCATCTAACATATTATGTAAATCTCAATCTTTGTAAAATTTTTAGAGGATCATATTACTCTTAAAAAGATATATAAAAATATTATTCTTTTTTTTTTTTCTAAAATCTCAATATTAATACACATCAACAACTTTATTGATATAATATCATTTTTGGTGTCAAAAAATTGATACATGTATCTTTTTCTATTCATCCACAATACCAACAATTTAAGTATGATAAACATGAGATAATATTTAATTTATCTATATAATTAAATTTTTATGTATTTTATCAAATGTTTTAACGAAAACTTTCACATGCAACGCACATGTTGCATTGCTAATTTAAATATAAAAAAACTTAATTTTTTATAAAAGCAAAATAATAAATCAAATTTTTTTCATATAAAATAGTTTTATTAGCAATATAGATAGATACAAACAGTCAATAACTCCGAAACGATATCTATATAAAGAAAGTGAATTTAGAATTAATATTAATAGTTTTAGAAGACCTATCAAATGAATTCATTGAAACAAATCTAATTAAATAACATACAAACCTGCAATATATATATATATATATATATATATATATGAACATAAATTAAATAAATTTTAATGGCCGTGGCTCATAGTAAAGCTGAAGGGTCATTTTTGGAGTTGAAAATATATTTGGCTGTGGCCTACGCCTACCATAATTTGTAGGAAAACTAGTCATGAATGCCATCGTATTGGCAGCGGGATAATAATAAAAAATATAAGAAAGACAAAAATTTTAAAAAAAATTGTGTGTAGTTAGCATAAGAATAATGAAAAAATATTTTTTTTTCATATTTAAATTTTTTTATAATTAATTAATTAATTTTTTCTTATAAAAAATATAAGAAAGTTATGATTTATAACAACTTTTTATTTTATCCTTATTTTTTTTAAATATATTTTTTCTATTAATTTTAAAAAAAATTGATATGAATTTAGTTAACTATAGAATTTGGTTTAGAGATCTTTGTACTAATACTTGTCTCATAATTAAATTAGGAGCCACTTTGAAATGATTTAACTTTTAATTATAATGTATAATTTTTTTTCTTTAGACGGATTTAATAGAATTAAGGATATTTTAGACAATTGGAATCAAACAATAGATTAATTTTTGTTTAAAATTTTTTTTCAAGTTTTTTATAGTAACCAAATTTATACATGAAAATATATATATTTTTTTATTTCATTTCACTTTCTATAATTTTTTTTTATTACCACTTGCAAGCTGAAGCTGATTAATTAAAGGCTCGGCTGAAGCCGGAAAGCGACAGTTTTTCTAGAACCAATCTCTCTCTCCCTCCCTCCCTCCCTCTGTGTCTGTGCCATGTCAGCCCAAGGTTTGTTTGCTGTTGCACACGCCGTTGGAAAACTGCTACGAAACGGGGGGAAAAAACAAAAGGTTGGCGCAGATGGGCCCCACAATTCTTCCTTTCTTTCTAAATCCCCTCGGCGCCCCTGCTCTCCCCACAAGACTCCAATCTTTGATCTCTGTATAAAGGACCCCCCCTCTCTCTCTCTCTGTCCAAAGTCTAAACACGCACCCTTCCTCTCCATTTTTCCAAAGCGTAATCAATCTCTACTCTTTCGTTTCGAAAACCCTAATCCAAATGATCGGAACCCTAATCCTCCCTGCGGCAGCATGCCTTCGATTTTCTCCGGAAAACACCGTACAATTCGTGGAGACAGCAGGATCTAACCGTAAAAAGTCGATTTCCGGCCGGATTTCTTATAAATCAGCGATTCACGCAGCCGTTGCCGAGGCGCCGGCTGTGGAGACTAGAATGCCTCCTGCGAGCCTCTATGACGTACTGAGAGTGAGGAGGAATGCATCGCCGATTGAGATAAAAATGGCGTACCGGAGCTTGGCCAAGATGTACCACCCTGATTCGTCTCATTCGGTGGAATCGGACGGCCGCAATTTCATCGAGATTCACAACGCATACGCCACGCTTTCTGATCCGGAGGCCAAGGCGGTTTACGACCTGAAGCTTAGTATAGGTTCACGAGGGCCACCTGTTGGGTACCCGTATCGATCTGGGTACTACCCGACCCGAAGATGGGAGACGGATCAGTGTTGGTAGTGAATAGGACAGGACCCAAATATAATATTGATGTGGCCACGCCAAGGGTAGAGAACTCATGTAAATACTCAACTGTTGCTTCCTGTTTTTTTTTTGGGTGCATCTGGTTTTTTTCTCCATCAGGAAATGAGTAAATACAAATCTTTTTTGTTTTTGTTTCCGAATTCTTGTTTTTGATGGGGAATGTCAAAAAGCATTCAGCAAGTGTGAAGGGATTTTCACACTCGATTCTTCGATTCTTTAAAAGAAACCATATACAAAAATTTATATAATAAAACAAGAGTGTGTTTGAATTTTATCTTTTTTTCTTAAAATCGTCACCAATCACTTACCTCACCTATCATCCCTTTATCAAACTAAAACGTCAAATTACATCACTCATTTTTATCACATATATATTTTTTCCCTACAAATCATACCACTTATTTCTATCATATATTTAATTATTTAATATTTAATTAATTTGTAGTTAATATATTTTGAAAAAATTTAATATAGTGGAATCGATTTTTTGAATGCTCGAATTTTATATTTTATCGTGCCTTCAAGTACAGGTTAGGACTAATATATCGATAAGAGATATACCTATAAGTATTTTATTTGATACGATATTTAATGGATATATTGATCCCAATGAAGAGCTCGTGTTTCATAGAATGGGAAGCATTATGCCACTGGAAAATATTTTTTCTGTGTTGAATTTTTATTTTTTGATCAAAAAAAATTACGTTGTATCTATATTTTTATTAATTTTTAATTAATAATTAAATATCATGAATTTTAAATTTGATAGGCAAAATTAACAGACGGGTCAGTACGGTAGTGTTACCGTTATGAGGATCCCTCCCATATGCACTTGCGTCACGCTAGGATTGATTTTGACCCAATTTCTCAAACTTGTGGCAGTGGGGGGTGTTTGTGTGTTTGACGGACTGTTAGGAGAATTGGAAATTTTTTTTTTAGTCGAATTATAATTTTCATTAAAATAAAGGAAACGAAACTTTACATTATGGCTTTACCCTATGCCTATTCTAGCTTCTTTGAAGAGGGTCTGCACTAGTTGTCATGTAGAGATATGACTGCCAGTTAAGAAGCAATGTACCTTGCCTACAGAGCATGGCCGCTGAGTTGCAAGATCTCTTTGTGTCTTAAGAGAATTGGAATTGTTTTCATGCTGTTTCAATTAAATGGCACGGGCTATCCCATGTCGGATAGTTTTCAGGTGTGGATGAGTTATATAGAGACTGTCTCACTTCTACTTTTAAGTAAAAATATTATAATTTTTTTGTGATAAAAAAAAAATAGATCTATATCCAGGTGTGTCCCATGTGGGTTTAATTGCAACCCTCGAAGCTCGACTAAGATCGCGTAGGCTTTTGGGCCTACATGATGATGGGCTGGTACTATTTTATATCGGATAGTTTTTGAGTGTGTGCATAGATTATATATAGACCACCGCATTTTTGTTTTTAAGTAAAAGTGTTTTAGTTATCTTGTGATAAAAAAAAATTAAATGACATCAAAGAAGAAAACAGAGTTGATCATTCAAAGTCAAATTCCACAGAAAATGCTACGATCTGGAAAATTTGTACTTAGAAAAATGTACATACATATAGCAGTCAACAGACAGCACTCTCTCACAATTGATTTGCAGAGAATTTCCGCATCTGCCCTATTCTTAATCACAGCCACATATCAATATTGCTGACCAATCAATCCTCGGCAGCCGCCGGCGCTTTTTTCCTTTGAAACCTTCCTCTCTTTTAATTTTTTTTTTTGATCTTAAAATAAAAAAAAAACAGATATTTAACCCTCCATCATCACCAAACAACAGGCAGTAACAATATGAGTCAACACTCAGCACTAACACAATTCCAAAATTTTTTTTGCTCTACAACAAACAGGCAAGCAAGAGTGTTTGAACTAATTTATATTAACAACAAAACTACCGATATCTATAAGAAAATTTTCTTTGTTAACACACTAAAATTAACTTGCACTTGTCACATCACCTGAACTAAAATGAAGACAAAATATCAAAAAAATATTTTTTTAATACTATAATCAAACCCACGTTCCTATGAGTTAGGGTTCATGTTTGTAACACTCTCCAACCACTAACATGCCCAACACGACACCATGAAAGGCCATACCACATGGCCCACATTATACATCAAAATAAGCCCCTGAATGTGCCACCCCACTCTCTCTGGTCGTACTGCACAAAAAAAATAATACTGTGGGCGGACATGCCAACAGTCAACAAAGAATTGAACCTCATATTCTACAAGTGACAACAACAGAAAAAGCAAAAAATGAGAAGAATACATAGTTCTGTCATAAACCTGGAGAAAACATTAACTCGTCCACCAAAAACTTCAAACAAATACTAAATTGAAAAACTCAAATCCCCAGCCCAACTATTTCACAGACTTGAACCTCGGGGGGTAAAAAAAAAGGAGAAAAAAGATGAAGAATTACAAGAAAGTTTGAATCTACAAATTTAGTATCCTTCCAACAAATTACTACACCTTTGTACAAACCTTTCTAGTTTGTTGGCATACCCTATTCATGTCTTATCTCTCTTATCGAAAAGGAATCATTTACAAGTCATCAGCATGGAGTTGATAATGTGCATGACAACACGGATACTTGATACCTCGCCACTAGTAGTAGTAGGAAGGCTACGATGATGGTTTAGTATCTGATAGACTTGTTCAAAGATGGGACGCACATGCATTGCTATCATTGGATCAGCTGGGTTTATGGCAATTACTATGTCCCTCATCCAGGACAGTTTTTGGGGAGTATCCTTGCTGGTGTCACAAGCCAGCTGCTGTAAAAGTGATAGCAGTACTCCTTGGCTCAAAGGTAGGGGATTCATAGACAAGATTCTCGGTAAATCAACCTGGTGGAAGATGGAAACAGCGAATTGAACATATGACCAAGTCAGCATACAAGAGTAGGAAAGTTCATTGAAGAATTCTGGTAACAATTCCAGTATAACTATAGGATGAGTTGAAAACTGGAACGCGAAAGAACAATTTTATTGTAGGCAAATGTAAGTCTGAATTTCAATGAAGTTGCCAAGAAGATGGCTAATTTTTGGAAGTTAACTGAAGTCCATCATGATTTCAAACCCCAATCAGAATTCCAAGATTAAGTCCACCAGGAATTGAGACCACGATCTCAAGCGCAAGCCATAAGCTGCAATGAAAGGCTTGACCACATCAAATCATCCACCATAGAGGAACAAGTGCATTTCATAAGGCAGTTTATCGTTGTCAAGCATTGACCACGAGCCTTTGTTCTCTAAAGGAATAATGACAGTTTCCTTCTCAAATTATTCTGCAAGAAATGGTAGCACCCAACGGTCCCCCACCAAAAGTATAGATAGCTCATGCCACAGCTGGCTGTCATATTCTTGTTTTTGTTCCTCATTTTTTTTTGGTTGGAAATTATTTTCAAAATAACAGAAATCATTATCAAGTCTAGTAGTGCCACAAGCCCACACAATCCGTATAAAAGTTATCCAAATTAAATGAAGTACACATAAACATACCTGAGAGCATAACCAGGATACAATGGAAACATCACTTCTTTGCAAAGCGGCAGTGAAAGCCTCGTCATATTTGCATTCAGATACCAATCTAGATAGCTCCTTAGTTGGATCCAAAGGGGGCTCATTCTATTGAACACATAAACACTGAATCAGAATGGCTTTTTTTTTTTTTGTTGTGTTGTTTTTGACAGCTGAAGTCCAATGGACAACAAAATAAAAAAGGCTATTGCTTGCTTGCAGAATTTCTAACAAATAAGGAAAAATAGGACAAACCTTCTCATGAAGACCACCCAAAGCTCCATTGCTCAGCTGGCTAGCCAACGGATTTACTGCTTTTGCATTTGCCCCGGCAAATGCAAGGGCTAACAAGTTTCTTTGACCATCAGCCAATTCACCACTTAGAGTTTGCGTCATAGTTGATGCTGAATTGATGGCATCCTGCATGAGTCAGCTCAACATCATATATCAGAAATCATATAAATAGCATATATTAACCCAAGAAAGCAGAAAAAACATGGGAAGACAGATGAACAATTAACAGGTCCTTAAAAGTGATCATGGAAAAAAAGGCTGTCGGTGTTGTAGCATACGTCAGATGACTGGGTAATGAATGTTCAAAATGACACAGTATTCAAAGTAGAAGAAACGGGAACCCTTATAAACTAGCAGCAGAACTGGACAAAGTGTTTTTATCTCATAAAATTTGGCCAGGACTCCATACTCTTAAAGCAAGAGCCAATGATGAATGTGCAGAGTCGAATTGCTGCTGAGCTGCACTTCTGTGGTCAACCATTCCTTTCTGAAATGTAGCATCAACTTGCTCAAACAAAACTTTGCATGACATCTCAAAGGCAGGGATCACCGAAGCTTCCAAACTGGATTTCAACGTTTCCTGCACAAAAAAAAAAGATGCTTCATACAATAAGATTAAGAAAACTTTCAGATTCATTTGGAGCACACAAGTCTATTGATGCCACATCCTTCATGCCCTCAACAAACAAACAGGCTCAGTTCTACCAATTTCAAATAAAAGGGAACTAAATTAAAGGAAGTTTAAAGAGGTATACAATATAAACTAGGGGAAAAGTAGACAATGAACCAGCAATTGTGGGGTTGACAAAACAGTCAGCAATCCACCAGAAAAATAACAAATAAAAGTAGTAGCATAACTTTAAAAACAATACAAAACTCACTATATTCAAGTTACAAAGGAGTACTTATGAATATCAGAGAGAGAGAGAGAGAGAGAGAGTGTGTGTGTGTGTTACTTACCAACCATGCTATCCTCATAAACTATAATTTTTATGACGCAATGATACCAAGCATAAGGCAACTATAGCTTGGAAATCATTGCACTAAAACCCACATGTTTATACTTCAACAAAAGTACGTCAAGTCTAGCATACACATGTTCCATGTTGCTTAACAGCGAAATCTTAAAATACATCTACACTAAATCATTTAGAAAGCATTGTGAACTAATGCACACCTGAAGAGCTTGCTTGCCAGAAGTTTGAAATTGTGCTTGAATTTGTCTTCCAACAGTAGCTTCAAGTTTAGTATTAACCGACTTCTCCAGTTGATTCACTGCCTTATCACCAACTCCTCTCTGCATCACACAGCATCAATTAGATTGCAATATCCAAACACTATACCAGAAGGCTCAGATCTTCAGAATGCTAACCTGGAAGGCATCTGCAATAGCTGTAGATAATGTCTTTTCAATAGTTGGAGTAACTGTGCGGGCCACAGATGGTCCAACCGTAGCTAACTCCTTCTTCACAGTCTTCTCCAACATTACTGGCAAGTCCTTGTTGAGATAGTTAGTAATCAGATTTGTTATATGCTGTGTGCGTTCCCGTACTAACTTCTCCTGTTTTGCATTATCTTCTTGGAAACGGGCCCACAGAGCATCATTATTAGCCTTGGTGGCCTTCTCCATGCTCCGCCCTAAAGCTGCCTCAAGTCTTCTGCCTTCTTTGGTAACTGGGACTGCAACCATCATCGCCATCTGCTTCTGCATTTCCTTTTGCATGGTTGCAAGCTGAAATCAGTGGGAAAAAGGAAGAGACAGATAAGCACAAAAAGAGAAAGGAAAATGTGCATGTTGCATCTGATACGCATAACATACATCGTATAATACACAATGTTGAAACCTACTTTTAGTTGCCAACACGTTGATATAACGCCACTATAAGCAAAGCCTGGTTTGGCAATACAATACTAATATATTGCTCATTGTAAGACAACGAACAGCACAGAAGAATATGCATGGAACCAAGCAAATGATGAGACGTGAAACTAGTGGAGGGATCAGAAGCACGACTATACCATGATACTGAAAATATATCAAACAAGAGGCCTGAACAGAAAGAAATTGAAAATTCTTCCGGAGAGGATACACATGACAGAAAAAAATGACATCCATGACAACCTAAAACCAACTAAACAAGTAAAATGGAATTATCCATGCTTATGAGAAATATATGTTTCAAAAACTAAGAAATGAATAACATAACACTTCTACTAGAGTAAGATTTAGATAACACCAAAAAAACAACTGGATAATTTTATTCCCACAAACCAAGCACAAGGTGTCACCACATGAAAACCTTTGGTTAATAAACTATCCACTATGTTGAGTAAACAAACAATTTTAAGAACAGCGAAGACGAATGTATGATGAAATTTTTTTTATGCTATACTCAAAGAGATCACCTGATTAAGTGTCTCCTGCATAGACAGAATTTGTGAAAAAGCAGCTTCCACAGAGGGAATACTAGGGATAACACCCATTTCATTGGAAGAATCTGATGAATTGAAAACACTGGGTGATGGTAAAGATGGACCTGATCCTTGACTATTCTTCCCCTTCTGTTTTTTCCCTTTTGTTATTGGTGCTGGCAGTTGTGGAACTGTGGCAGGCGTAACTGACTCTATAACCTTTCCCGATACATCCTTTGCAGAGTCAAGGACATCATACTCAGCACCCAAAGATTGGTCAACTTCTTCACTCCTGCTAGCCCCATCAAGCTGCCTAGATTCTTCCTCAACATAAGTTTCATCTGGTAAAGCATAGCACTCCCTAGCCATCTCAATACTAAGATCCGATGCCTGAGAGCAAAAGGATTTCTCCTTATTTTCTGAAACAAGACTGTGAAGTTCTCCCTGAGAACCAAGATCATTACTCTGGCTAATTTCTTTTTCATCAACAACTTTAACTTCCACCTCAACATTTTGCGGGTCGTTATTAATTGTCACATCCTGAATATTTGGCTCACTCTCACTCTTCTGCTCAACAACATTGTTCATATCAGAGGACGAATTGGACATTAATATCTCAGAAGGAGTCACTAAATGAGTGGGGTGCTTAAATTTAATCGGTTGATTGAGAACAGTGGAAATATCATCTTTTGAAACCTTGTTTTCGTCGCTCATGGAATCATCTCCTTGAACCTCAGACATGTTTGTGTGAACAGTATGCATTTGTCTGTCAACTGAAAGCTCGACTGTTTTCTGATCTCTGCCACGATCATAGAGTGGGGAACCTGGCTCAAAGTTGTTTGATGGACTTCTAAAACCAGAAAGCTTTCTAGACAACCTTGGACTCAAAGGAGGAGGAGGCGAGGCAACATAAGATATATCAGTATCACTGATTACCACTGGCGAAGAAACAGTTTTAGACTCCATGCTCAAAGACGCAAATTCTTGTGAAGTGGCCGTCTCAAGAGAAGTAGAGCTCACAGGATGTCTCACTGTAGGTGCACTGCCAGATTTACTTTCACATATAGAGGGTTTAGGAGCTGAACTAGATATAGGAATCTCAGTTGGTTCACTTCTAGATGGCTCTGAAGTAGCAAATCCGTCAGCACCAGAGGCAAGGTGTGAAACAGTTGAGTCTGACTTCCCCCAAACCACATTCTCCAACGGGGGTGGCAAGCACTGGGATAAGTCCAAAGCATATTGTTGAATAGCCTGCGTCTGGACACAATAAACCTGAACAATTTGTTCACCATTGGGTAATAAATCACCCGTCCCCGTAAAACTCAAGATTGGCATAGTGACAGTGAACTCTGCTATGTAATCCATACGGGTAGTGGCTGGATTAGGACCATATTCTAAATGTACTGCATATATGGCATTCTTCTTCGCATTTGCTAGTAAGAGCAGACCTGCTTGAGACAAGGCCACAACTTGATTAAAGAATGCCTCTTCGACTTGATCTTCAGCGGAGCTCTTCAATTCCATTTTCTGGGTACATAGCCAAGATTCAGCATCACTAGGAAGCAGCCAGCCTTCTTCACTTGCTGATGTCCAGATCTTCACTTCCCGATTCAGTGGACCCTGCAAACATCGCATAAGTTAAATAAAAAAAACACATCTGACACAAAGGCATGATGAGAAAATATAAAAGGGAAATTATATGTACTTTTTAAAGCCCAAAAAGCAAATATGCAGGCACCCAAATAATACCATCATGCCCGTATCGCAAGGAAAAGAAATTTTGGTAATGCTGGGCTAACAAAGAAGCTATTTTACGGGGATAGATAGCAAAGTTTCAATCTGAAATAGCATGATTACAGACATACTGAATGAAAGTACTGAAAGAAACGTTTTTTATCTAATAGCAGGTACCCCTGTGATAAGTATGATGTGATCTGGGCGGTGAGGGGCAGTCAAGAATGTAGCAGAATTGACAGGTTGGCCGTCATGTGGCCTCAGTACTGCAATTGGTTGCATCTTGCGGTCTTCCCAAATCTTTATCTGCACACAAATATATTATTGCATGCAGATGTTAGTAAAATTGGAGTAAAAAATAGGAAATACTGACCAAATAGCATGCATATGGATGCACAATGGCAGGGAAAAGGGCATCCATTACATAAGAAAGTGTCACATACAGCAGGACAAAGAATGGTCTCTTTTATCTCATACAATTGTTCAACTAGGAGAGAATCCATGTTTTATTACAAGACTATAGAAATGACTGATGAAACACAAAATTTGGAAACAGTACTTTTAGCTACATTATTATAATTCCTGGCTTCACTTCTACCAACAATTTTAAATACCATTCCCGTATAAAAATGAACTTTTCTTTTTTTTTAAAAAAAAAAAAAAAACAATAAGATACAACCAATAGATGAAAAGACTCAACAAGTTCTTGAAGCAGCCAAACACAATGATATTGTCTAACAGATCATTTGCCCCTACTCCACAGCTACCCCAGGCTAGCTTATGACCTCCTATATATTGACATCCTGACAAAACACAAGTTCCAACTTTTTCATTTTTTTCCAATAAGTAAGACGTAACAACAGGATTTACTTATCACAAGTGAAAACCCTGTAAATATCGTCATAAATGGAATCTAGCTTCAATAAGTTTTGAGCTCTCACTGTCTGTTGTAACTTCTACCCTCAACATGATTGCTGCCTTTCACTTCGTATGATTGCACATCTACACTTTCTCAAATTGTGTGTTTTTCTTTTCCTTTTCTTTTTTTTATGAGAACTACCTCTACCAGATTCCTTCCCCTTTTACCCAAAATAGACAACATACGGAATATGACCAATTTGAAAACTCCTCAACCAACTTGGCACATGTAACTTCCAAAATTGTCTCCTAGAAAAAACAAGACCCAAAATAAGTTTTTACAAAAAGTTCAATCAAAAGAACATATATATGTTCACATGCAGTGGCAAAGCCAGAAAATTATTTCAGAGTGGGCACTGTATATTTTAACAAATTTAATTTTTTTCTTGTAATTGATAAAAATAAAATAATGCATTTATATTTAATTATATCTTATTTAATTCTTAAAAGTTCATTAAACTTAAAAGACTAAAATTACTGAATATAGTAGATACAAATGACAAAAAGAAAATATTCTTTTACCAAACAAAGGCTAATCAAAACTATTTAGAATTGACTTTGATGATTTTTTATACGTTAAAAGTCTTGCATTAACTTTGTTATTATTTATATCCATAATCCTATTATCACTTAACTATTTATCATTCATTCGATTACTCAATAAAATATAGGAAAAATTTCAACGACACCCCCTCTAGTTTATCATATCTTCAAGGACACCCCCTCTAGTTTCTGAATCTTCAATGACACCCCTTCTAATTTAATTTAAACATCACTAACACCCCTACCATTAAACTACTATTTCTAACAAAAAAAAATTCATCTAAAATACCAAAAATGCTCCTACATAACCTCAAGTAATTTTTTTACATAAAATTTTATTAAAATTCTAGCTTTTAAAATTTAAAAAAAATCATAAATAACAATTTTAGTAAATAATTTGTTAGTAAATACTAATTTGTTATTTATTAATTCCTAAATTTATAAAAAAATCGAGCCTATTAAAATTTTTTTTTTTTACATATTAAAATTTGAGCCGATTTGAACTCTACCCGAGTTGTTAGCACCGATTAAAATTCTCTTTCGAATCGATTAAAATTTATATTTTTTTACTTATTAAAATTCGTGTCAATTAAAATTAGATTTATTAAAATTTAATTCAATTAAAATTCATATATTTTTATATATTAAAATTTGATTTGAGTCGATTAAAAATAATTTTTAATTGGCTCAAACAAAATTTTAATTAGCCCAAATTCTAATACATAAAAAAAAAATATAATTTTTAATTGGCACAAAATTTGATATGTAAAAAAATAAATTTTAATTTGCTTGAATCGAATTTTAATTGATTCGAATTTAATTACGTAAAAAAATTAGAAAACAGAGGGGGTGTCATTGAAAATATACTAATCTAGAGGGGGTCTCATTAAAGATATGTTTATCTATGTTTATCTAGAGGGGTGTGGATGAAATTTGTCCTCAAATATATCATGGACAATTTAGTAAAATTGCATTCTACTAAATATTTTTAATCTGACAGGGGCGTCATTGAAGATTCAGAAACTAGAGGAGGTGTCTTTAAAGATATGGTAAACTTGAGGGGGTGTGGTTGAAATTTTTCCTAAAATATATTCTCTAACATGTCGGTAATAATTACTAAAATAAATGTTAAAATTATAAGTAAACTCATGGATATGTCATGCATGTTCTGGTCTTGATTAAAAAATAGGGTGGGCACAATTTAATTTATTGAAAAAATACTTAAAATATATACAAATAAATTTAGAAAAAAAAAATTTGAGGGTGGGCATGTGCCCCCCCTGGGCATAAGGTGGCTCCACCCCTGTTCACATGAGTAACTAATTCCAAAAAGATATCAATAAAAACAGCTTTAAAAGATGATCAAAAGAATTGAACACCAGCAAGCTTGAGGACAATAAAAGGCAAGAATATCAAGAAAAAGGCAAACCGAGCCATCCACTGAAGCAGAAACTAAACGGGAGGTCATCCATTGGCACATCGATAAATCGGTCACTTCTCCATCATGACTACCAACATATTGGACCCCATCGATCAACTTGTCTACAGGGCATTTGAGAGGTTCCTCCGCTGAGAATACTTCACCTTTTCCAACTTTTGTGGTATCAATCCTCAGAACAAGCTTTCCAACACCAACTACCAGGACTTCCTGCAAGAGAGAATGCAACATCCATTAGTAAAAGAAACCTATCAGCAGACTCATCTGTCAAGATCAAGAGAACTAACACAGAAAACTATACGGATTAATTGTCGAAACAAGACATACTTGTTTATGACAATGCCAACAAACTCGTGGATGAGCAGATTCTGCTTCCCCTACTATCTGAATTGCGATGACAACCTTTCCTGTAATTTGTGGCTTATCTTCTTCATCTGGACCTTCAGCAATCTTCCATACATAAACCCGCCCATCAACACTTGCACTGCAGGCATGTACATTAGCAGAACCAAAGACAAACCAGAAGAAGGAAGTTCATGAATAACAAGTATGGTGCTACCTGGCCAAAAGGTGAACATCCTCAGCAAAGAAAGCCATGTCTGTTACCTTCTGAGATAATACAAGTTAATAAGATGAGTATACTATTTTAGGCAATCAAAAATCTCAGCAATACCAGAAGTTTTTTCCCCCCTTCAACAATAGATGTGCTCTGAGATATTAATCAGCATAAGACAAATTTTGAGATTTCTCCTTTGTAGATTTCATGATATGAGCAAGCATCGCAAATAAATGTTCAAGATCCACTATGGTGTGCAGAAAATTAAAGAGGATATTAACGATTCTCTAACATAATATAAAAACAAAAAATAGAAAATTAGTCAGTCCTAAAATATAACCCCAAAAAATAAAAGACCGGCAAAACATGTAGAAGTAGAACATCTTATGCAGAGTAAATCACCTGGAAATGTTACAACTCAGCATATGAGCTAAATCAATAGTGTAATTAGCTGTACAGTTTCTTCTGATTCACCAAGATAGTCGGAAGTCATGCATTGTCTCAACCCTCTCCCCTTAAAGATGAAAGCAATTTAATCCAACTGCACACATACTAAATTGAATTTGTTATTGTGAAGTATGAAGAGAGATTGTACTCCTCATGAAAAGATTATGACCACCCAAAGTAGGTTTACATGTGTTAGAATATAAAGAGGTGTGCAATACAACTTCAACCCCTTTCTCCATTATCCCTTAGAGGAATTATAGCGAAGTTAATAAAGGTGTTCATCCATACGGTTCCGGATTCCATGGGTAAATACATTGAGTTTTCTTCATCTGGTCTATTTTGAATCACCACTTAGCTGGGCTACCTCTCTGCCTTTTCTTCCATTCTCTTTCTCTATCTCTCTGTCCCACAACTTCAACTTCAACTTCCATTCTCTGCCTCTTCTTCCATTCAACGTCAACCTCTGTGTCCCACAAGATCAACAGTCTGTCTTTGATTTTTAACCATCTTTAATACTCAGACTATAGTTTCTCAAATTCTAACATATCCCTAAATTTCATATTTTTTAGAACACTTCGATATGCATATATATTAGCCTTGCATATATTTTTTGTCCCGTATTTTCAATTAGTAGGATCTTACAATTCTCGTTCCAGTCCTCTACGATCCCGATCCTATAGCCTTTCCTATCAATCTAAGGTAGGATTTTGATTTTAAAAACCTTGCTATTTTGTCACATTTATGGATGATCATTCTCATATAACTTGGTTATTTTTGATAAAATCCCGCTCTGAATTATTTTCTCTCTTTTAGTTGTTTCGTAAGTAAATTAAGACTCAATTTGGATGCAACATTCGTGTTACAATCTGACAATGCTAAACAGTATACCTATAATCCTTTTCAGACTTATTTCAATAAAAATGACATTGTACATCAATCTTTCTATGTTTATATACCACAACAAAACGATTTTTGATAACATACCTAATTTCATATTTTTTATAACGGCCGAGCAAAATAGTCATATTTTATTGGTTGTCACTCACGTTCTCTATTTCATACGCATGTTCCTCCTCGTTTTTGGGATGATGGTGTCTTGATTGCTTGTTACCTTATTAATTCGATGTTTTCTACCGTGTTACATGCAGCATCTCCACAATCGATTTTGTTTCTTCACTCTTCATTATTTTCTCTTCCCTCTAAGGTGTCTGGATGTGTGTCCTATATTCACAATCTTGGCCCAAGTTTTGATAAACTATGATCCACATGCTACTAAGGACATTTTCATTGGTTACTCCCGTACTTAGAAATGTTATCACTAGTATAGTCCTATTCTTCTTAAATATTTCACTAGTGTTGATGTTACTTTTGGGGAATCTACACCTTATTTTTCAGTTTTGTATGTTCCCTTTGATCATTCTATTGAGTTGTCTCCTATATCCAACCTTACTCTCTTATCAGCTCCAGTTCCCTCATCCTCAGTTTCTTCGTCGTCGCTGATCTTGAGTTCATCTCCTCCTGACCCTTCACCTATACCGTCTACCACACCCCTTCATGTATATACTCGTCAGTCGCAGGCCACCTGCTACAGCTCTACCACGGCTTCTACGTTGTTGATATTGTGATTACAAGTGATAATTCAGTGGGTATTGCCAAGTTAAAACAGTTTTTGTAGTATCGGTTTCATACTAAAGATCTAGGCAAACTTAAATATTTTCTTGGTATCAACTAGATCTAAACAAGGCATCAATTTGTCTCAAAGGCAATATGTACTTGATCTTCTAGAGGAAACAGGTATCTAGGTGTCGACCGGTTAATATCCTTATGTATCCAAATCAGAAACTCTCAATGACTAAAGGTGAATGTTTCTCAAAACCTGACTAGTACCATCGTCTCATTGGGAAGTTGAATTATCTCATTATTACCTAACCAGATATCTCAGATGCAGCGAGAATAGTGAGTCGGTATATGGAAACTCTCTGAATTGTGATGCTATTATTCGTATTATTTGATATCTCAAGCGAGCTCAAGGACATGGAATACTTTACAGATCACATGCACACTTTTGATTAGAAAGATTCAAAGACAAAGATTGGGCAAGTTCTCTTTTAGATAGACAGTCTCCTCCTAGATATTGTACCTTTTTGGGTGGTAATTTGGTCACACGGAAGAGTAAGAAACAAACAGTAATGACATAATCTAGTGTAGAAACTGATTACTGATTAGATAACAATGGCTCACACATGTAGTGAAGTAACATGGTTACAACACTTCCTTCAAGAAATTGGTTTTCTAGCACAAACTTCGCTTCAGTTGTTTTGTGATAATGAAGTTGTTGTGCATATAGTTTCTAATCCTATGTTTCGTGACCGAACGAAACACATTGAAGTTGATTGTCTTTTTGTTCAAGAAAAGGTTTTGTGTGTAGATATTGCCACACTGTTTGTCAGATCTGAGACTCAACTTGCTAATATGTTTACTAAGTCTTTGACTATTTCTCAATTAAGGGATATTTATTCTAAGCTAAGATTATATGATATATATTTGTCGGCTTGAGTGGGAGCGTTAGAATATGAGTGGTAGTCTTGTAATAAGGATATCCCTTAAGGGGTACATTAGTCTTTTGATTGTTTTTCACATACATACATACATACATATATATATATATATATATATATCAAATAGGTAGAGAGGCATGTTATACAACTTCAACCTCTCTGTGTCATCTTTTATTCTCTCTCTCTCTCACTCGTTCGCTCTTTTCTTAATCCTAAATCTCTCATTACAATATGGTGTCTTGGTTTACATGGTTAACAAGTCTCTCCATTTATTACTAATTGGTTTTGGCTTGATTGCTCTAATATGGTATCAAAACTAGGTCTTGAGGGGTGGTCAAATATCTTACCCATTAAATCCTGCGGTTAGTTTCCTTGTCTATTCTGGTTCAATTTATGAGTTAAAGCGTAAGTTCATGTTCCACGAGAATAAAGATGTGAAGGGAGCTTGTATCCCATATGAAAACATTAGGACCATCTTCAGCTATTTTAACCAAGGTTTTTAAAATTGGATCCTATCTTAGATCGATAGGGGAGGTTAAAGGATCGGAATCATAGAATCGAGTCGAGAATCGTAAAATCCTCCCAATTGAAAGAATGGGAGAAAAACATATGTAGCAGTACATAGAAATGTTATGGCCAAACATAGAAGTTAGAGTTATAATTGAAAGTTGTTAAACTATAATTTGAGCACTAATTAAGGAGGGTTGAAAATCAAAGGTGGAATGTTGATGTTGTGGGTTTTACGAAGAGGGATTTTGTGAAGAGTAATAAGAGAATTGAAGCAATTTGATCTTAACTTTCACACAGAGAGAGAGACAGAAGCAAAGGAGAGACTGAAAAGTTAAAATGCTCTTAAATAATAACTTTGACTATTTTACATCCAAATAAAAAAAATCAAAAAATGGAAAAAAAAAATGGAAGAATATCTAGTTATGACAATTTTCAACTTTTCAACTAAAGATATAAAAGAATAAAAGACTTTTTTGTAAACGAAATAAACTTTATGTAACTTTTCTTATCCATTGAAATTCTCCAATAGGCTAAAAATTATATGAGGCATTCACATTCAGATTGAGTCTTCAATTATTACAACGATAAATATAGATTAGGTTTGCTCAATAACTAAATGGGTCTAACAAACAAACCCAACAACTTGGATCAATAAAATAGCAATTTAGATCAAGATCCTACAATCCTATAAGATCCGGATCACAATCCATTAAGATCCTAAGAATTTGGGATTCTAAATAAGATTCAGATCGATTTGCTTGTATCGGATCGCTAGATCAGGATTTTAATAACCATGATTCTAACTGGCTGGTCCCTACACTCATTATCAATTTGTTTGAGTTAGATGCTTCTAACCGTTATTACCTTATAAGTTAGATGCTAGTAACAGTTATTATTTCTTTTACACCAATTTAAAATGGATTATCTTGTAAATTCTAAGCCTCCAATTTTTCAAAGTAGGTTCTATGTCTCCCCTGGTTATTATTCGTTATCACCTACGAGAGGGATGAAAGCATATTTCAGCTTAAAGACAATAGATGATCATCAAGATTCAAATTTCAAGTATTGTTCCAGAAGAAAAAGGGAGAGAAGGGTTAAAGTCTACATAGCAACTTCATGTTATGCAGCATGGATAAGTTTAGCTTGGTTTGTCAACATGAAACTTTATTAAGGAAAAAAAGGATGAATCAAGAGTGGGATTGTACACAATGCTTACAAAACTGTATACAAATAATGAATTTTTGTAACGCCTATTGTATTGTGAGTCTAAAGGCTAGTTAAAGCACAAGGGATTTAATGGTGAGATTTGGAACTCCGTGAACTTTCAATTTAAGGAGTACAGTGAACGTGATTCTTAGTTATCTTTTTGATTACTAGTCAATCCAAAGTTGAAGTACTTAATGATATGTTCGTGAAAAATGAAAGGACATTTCATAATGATAAGCACAAATGCAGCAGGATATGTGAACAATTAGATGTTTTCCTAATAAAAGTGTTTTATAATGACATATGGCAACCATTTCTAACATTTCACTTCTTTACACATTTCAACAAATAGAAAAATGCAGCCACTCCTCAGTTGTCATATCAACTATAAATGGAATCAAATATTGCAAAATAGGCAGCGTGAACTATCACTGTCACATATATAATTTCGATTCAGTAAAGACCTGCATAAGGTACTCAGTTCACGTATTCCCCTAGATATCCAATGTATATGTCCCTCTTCTAATCCATTAAATGATTTAAGTCAGGGGAGATATATAAAATCCACTTTACAACAATGGTCAACATAGAGTGTATTCCATTTCCATTAAACCAACAACACAAAGCAAGCCATTTTCAGCTAAACAGTCAATGAAACAAAGTCAGCTCTAATAAGATAAAAAAAGGCAACACACAAAATCAAAATTTTGATCTGACAAAAGGAAACCAACCTGAGAAAGCCCTTTAAGCAGTGATCGCAATGCAGTGTTTATATTAAGCACTCGAATAGCTCCCAATTTCAGCCCATAGCATATGTAAGTCTTATTGACAGCAATTTGACGGCCCACAACAAGGCCAGGATCCGAACCATACTTGGTGATGGGAGTAACCTCAAGTTGAGGCTGAATCTCACCCGGCAACCTAGCATCTATATCATATACAACATGGCCGCCAACTAAATGCCGTCCCTTCGGAAGCTTACTGCTTGGCATACGCATCGGAGCAGAGTGTGCAGCATTAACATTTGGCCCCGAAGGCAATATGGGGACAGTTTGCGGCACTAAAAAATCAGAACCACCAGAAGAGGAAGGCTGAATTGGAGAAACGGGCATGGTGGGTTGTTGAATAATTTCAAAAGTGGAAGGTGGAGCACTTAACAAAGCCATTAGAGTGGCACCAGGGTTAAGGTTACTTTTAGGGTCGGGGCTTTGAGGATTAGCGAACTGGGGTTGAATAGGGGGTGTAGGAAATGATATAGATCTCTGGTGGTGCAGGTTAGCAAACTGATTATCAAGTTGTGGAGGGTATTGAGGGATATGGAGGTACTGCTGGTGGTGAAACGGTGAGGGTTGATGAGGGTAAGAGTATGGGCCACCGGTTGGTGGAGGATAAGAAGCAGAAGGGGATTGAGGATAAGAAGTGGGAGGGAATAGTGAAGAAGAATTAAGATTTTGGGGATTAGGGTTTGTTGCTGTGGTGGTAACAGGTGCTGTGGGTTTGAAGAATTTGTGCACATCAAATTGTCCTCCGCCTGGTAGATTTGGATTTCCAGGTGAAGCCATCAACAAACACCAATTCGATCGAGTTGGTATGTGGCTATTGACAAAGCGATCCGACTGGAGAGAGAGAGAGAGAGAAAAAAAAGTTTACTGTAGCTTTGCAGATTGAGATCCGAGTGGAGGGTTAAGAAAGCTTGGATCAAAAGCCTAGATGCATAGTTCTCTGTATAGTGAACGGAGGTGGGAAGATTTCTGGAAGACCAGAATAAGAAAGGAAGATGAAACAGGAATAATATTATTTACGGAAAATTATAAAACTGACACTTAATTTTGCGATAATATCACTTGACCCCTCTTCAGGTTTATGTACTGCCACTAGAAGCCTCAAACCTTCTTTCTTTTTCTTTTTTTTTTCCAGATATGAAGATGGCTAAAAGTGTTCCAAATAAACTCTACATTTTCATTTGTAGAAATGGTTGAGAATGGATTCATTTTTAGATATGAATAATAACTAAGTCTCACCAATTACATAATATCTTCATTTTTTTGGGGAACGAATTAGATACACTATTTTATATTGAGATGCAATTCAAACGGCATTCAACAAGATATGAAACATTCGCCTCGAGTCCAATTCAACCCAAGCTCAACTTGAGCAACTTTAACCCGAGTCTAATTCATGTTTGAATTTTTGAATTTGAGTTGATCTCGAGTTATACAATTTGGGTTGTAATTCAGATTAAACCCATATTAAAAATGACTTTCTTATTAATCAAAACTCTAATTGAACCAAAAAAGGTGTTCAAATTTTTGTTCAACCCCGAAATTGAACTTAAAAAAAAAATTCACATCCGCAGTAGGCTTAAACATCAATAAGAGTGGGTTTTGTTTATAATTCTAATTCTTCATTTTTTAAAAAAAAATCAGTTTGAACTTGATTTGTTAAATTTGGATTAGATTCGAATTGAAATCGTCAATCCAAAGTCCCAACTTGCATATTTTTCAAATTCAATTTCGGTTGTAATTCTTTTGCCCAAACTCAAACCTCACCCAAATATTAAAAATCTCAACCCAAATGACTGAAAATTTTCGGGTTGGTTTCCATTTCAACTGTCCAAATTGTATCCCTAACCGTATAAAAAAAATTAATATAATGTCAATACACATATATTAAATTGTTTAGCCCACTTCATTTTTTATTTTGTTTTCACAATAAGAAAGAAATGACATGACCTTCCTTAAGAAAGAAAAGATTCCATCCCATGACTCTAAGATGCTTTTTAACATAATCCAAAGAACCATTATTAGCTTTAAAAGTTCCTGCTAATTGAATGTGAATTTTGATTGATCTATTAAAAAATTGAAAATTTTAAGGAGATGTAAAACAAATAATAGTACAGTAGAAGAAAATATGAGTAGGGCTGGGCTGATAATCGAGTTAAGTTAGTCGAACTATTCGAATTCGACTCGTTTTGGGTTTGACTTATTTTCTAAATGAGTGGAGTTTTAATAAATTGGTAAACTTGTTTACAAAAATGAGCTCGGCTCCGATAAAAAAAAAAAAAAAATTAGCTCGGCATGTTGAATTCAAACTCACAAAACTCGATTCAATTATCAATCTTAGTGCTAAGAAGAAAATGAAAAGTCACATATATGATTTTTTGGTTAGCAATTTTTTACCCTTGACTTAAATCATTCATTAACTTTGTGACTTTGTCTTATCAAATTTTAATTTGAGTGTAAAAAAAAACTCAGAACTGGAGATTAGAGTAAATTTGAATCTCCGGTTCATACTATTTTGTAGACCTAAATTTAAATTTGGGTAAAAAGAGCCAACAAATCATCTCCAACCCATGGCCAGCTCAATAGTCGAGTGGAAAAAGCATGGGCTTTTGACCTACACATAAAAAAGTTTCCAAATTTTAAAATTCAATAATTTAGTATAGATCAAAAATTAAAACTCATTATTATTTAGTTTAACAAAAAAAAACTTCTAAAAGATTAAGTCAAAATAAAATTTAGAATTTCAGTTTAAAAGTGTAGTCCACCTCACAAATATACATTACACATACATATTTATTAAAGGACAAAAAAATGTTAACATTTTAATAAAAAAATATAATAAGTATCTCTCTCTTCCACAAATTAAAATAAATCAAACACATTTTTTATTTATCTCAAACTTGATTTTGTTCTCATTTCAATACAAAAACACTAACTAATTAAATTGTTAATTCTCATAAAGGATCCACAATAAAAACTAATTAATATAAAAAAATCAATAAAGTTATTATTAGAGAAAATAAAACACAATAAAACAGTAGGTGAGCATTATATATATATAAACAAGTTATGGATCATAAAAAATTAAAAAATAATTCAATACAAGATAACAAAAAATTATGAATATATACTGATAGTCGATAACCTAATACTACAATTTTCATTAAGAACATACATAAGCAGAACATCTCTAGTTTACCATATTTTTAAGGACACTATCTCTATTTTCTAAATCTTCAGTGACACCCCTATCAAATTAAAAATATTAACTAGAATGCAATATTACTAAATTGTCCATAATATATTTGAGGATAAATTTTATCTACATCCCTTCTAGATAAACATATCTTCAATAAAACCCCCTCTAGATAAGTATATCTTCAATGAGACCTCTCATGTCTTCTAATTTTTTTTACTTATTAAAATTCGAGCCAATTAAAATTTGATTCAAGTTAATTAAAATTTATTTTTTTACATATTAAAATTTGAGCAAATTAAAAATTATATTTTTTTTACGTATTAAAATTTGGGCTAATAAAAATTTTATTTGAGCCAATTAAAATTTGTTTTTAATCAACTCAAATCAAATTTTAATCAATTTGCATTGAATTTTAATCAGTACAAATTTTAATATATAAAAAAATTTTATTTTAACTGACTCAAATTTTAATAAATCGAATTTTAATTTACATGAATTTTAATAAGTAAAAAAATATAAATTTTAATCGATTCGAAAGAGAATTTTAATTAGCCCTAAAAACTTGAGTAGAGTTCAAATCGACTTAAATTTTAATAGGCTCAATTTTTTTAAAAAATTTACTAATTAGTAAATAACAAATTAGTCTTTACTAACAAATTATTTACTAAAATTGTTATTTACGAATTTGTTTAAAAAAATTAATAGCTCAAATTTTATAAAATTTTATATAAAAAAATTACTTGAGATTTATGTAGGAGCATTTTAGGTATTTTAGATGAATTGTTTTTGTCAAAAATGGTAGGTGATGTTTAAATTAAACTAGAAGGGGTATCAATGATGTTTTTAATAATAGAGGGAGTATCCTTGAAGATATAATAAGTTAGAAGGGGTATGGGTGAAATTTTTTCAAAAAATAATGAAATAATATATTATGTTCCGAAAAGTGTGGTTCAAGAAAGAGATGAGAGAGAAAAATAAATGTGCGAATTTATTTGTTAAAAAATATATATTTAGCCATGATGATCTATGTATATTTTCAATTCCTATGGATTTTTTCATTGAACAATTTCACTCATATAGTATGAATATGAAATAACGCATATCTAATATTTATTATATATTAAATGCCAAAATTATTTTAAAAAAAAAATATGCGACATCACGTTATAACATTGAACATATTTACTATGACAATATCCCTTATAACGGTCCATATATTATTTTTGACAAATTTAAAAAATAAAAAAATATGGAATAACACATATTACCTTTAATCATTTACATGTCATTCATTAATTAATTTGTCTCACTTAATCGGTTTCATAGATGAAGACTCGATAATGAGGCACAAATAGAGACTACAATTGTTACAAGATACACAAATACTTCGATCATTTAAATGGAAGGAGACATAGAAGGCATAACCATTAAAATAGTCTTGTAGAACCCTAATTTAATTTTTAGCCATTAGGTAAGTTTCATGTTTTGAGGCCCTTTTGAGTAGACCTTTTTTTTTTGTTTTGCGAATCTCGATGGTATGAGGGAATTTTATTGATTAAAAATTAAATTATATCTAATTAGGGGACGTGTGTATTTTACCTCTCGATGCAATCTAATTATAATAATGAAGGAATTAAAAAAATTATAATGCACGATAATTGCATAGAAATAACACAATAGATAATTATAAAATGTAGAACTCCCTAAAAATCCTCCAAAAGATCATGGATCCTATCCATATAAGGCCCAATATATTTAAGAAATTCATTTAAAATTTTATAAAAAATTGTAAAATGTAACAATATTTTCACAGGTCTATATAATGCCTTATATATATATATATATATATATATATATAGTCCTAAAATATAACAAAATCTTCTAAAAAAAACAATTCTCGACTTTAAAAGTAGCAATTTCTCTCAAATTATTTTTCACTTTTTTTTCCTCTACTCTAACCACCTATTTCCAACTTTTTCTCTCCCTCAAACTCTCATTATCTTGCTCTAGTTCTTTCTCCTTATCTCTAACTCTCTTGTTATATCTTTAAGATTTCATTCAATTTATGCATTTATAAGATCCTGACTTCATAATTGCACCCAAAATTTTATCTAATCTCGGCTAATCCCAAAAGCACTAAAATATTGAAAATAAATTATACCGCAACTCTCTATAAAACATTTAATAATAGTTAAAAAAAAATATTATCTTCTTAAAATATTAAATGAGATCTCATGCAAAATTTTCGCTTTAGGCCTCAATTTGTGTTGGGCCGCCCTTGTCCAACCCTATACCCAAATCTATACCAAATGAAGGAGACTTTTTTTCTAAACTCAGGTCAAAAAAGACTCAAAATGTAGACCCAAAAATGTAACGGTAAAAAGTCTATTACCACTCTTCTTTTCACTCGCAACTGTGCTCTCTGGTGGACCTTTATAGGTAAACTCTCTCTCTATATATATCTATATCTCGTCACAAACGCTATATGTATATAACTGGTCAAGAAAAAATCTACTGTACAGCGAGAGGCATTCAGTGAAACTTTTGATTGAGGCATTCAGTGGAACTTTTGATTTTTTGTTCAATGATCAGGGATGTTCGGCCCAACTTATGCGATCATAACTAATATCTTATGTGGTCCGATTAAAGACAAGTCATTCACATCAAGACTAAGATATTCATGAGAAATAAATCCTTCATGACTTGATCTCAAAAGGTTATCAAGATTCAAACTCAAGACGCTTGAATTTAGTAATTTATAATTCGTTCTTATTACCGCTTGAACTTCTTGAGTTTGCATTAAGTGAAACTAATGTTTACAAGAGGCACTTAATGGAACTACTTATCAAGAAAAAATCCAACATCAAGAAAATTAAAAATTTTGGTTATGTGATTTAATTTGGAGTGAATAAAAAATTGAGGGGAAAAAGAGGTTTTGGAGGTAAAGAAGTAGAGAAAAGAGAAAAAGTAAAAAAGGTTTTAGAGAAAAAAAATGAGCTATTGGGATAATATGAGAATTTTTTAGAAAAAATTTGAGTACAAAAAAAAAGTTGGTCCATTTGAGAAGTCTATATCAAATTAAGTTTTTTATCATTTTTTTTTACTCAAATTTGAGTAAGAATTTGTATAAGAGGATCTTCAACTCTGACTAAAATTTAAACTTTAATTTAAATTTGAGTAAAAAAAATTAAAAAATTTGCTCCAACATTTAACTCAAGTTTATACCAAATCAAGGGAGATTCATTTTCTTTTACTCAAATCAAGGGAGATTCAAATCTTTTACACAAATCTTTAATTGTGAGATTTCACCATCTTTTAAAAATTCAATAGTCGTCTTTGCTCTGTTTTAAATTTTAAATTTTAAATTTAGGTTTCTCCTTCTTTAAATTTGAGTTTGTCCATTAGAGTCTTTTGTATCAAATCAAATTTTTTACTCAAATATTAATTTAAATTTAAGTAATAATTTGAATAATGATTTGAGTGATACTCTAAGAACTAAAAATGGTCTTAGTTAAAGTAAATTTAACCCATTTTTTCACTCGTTACGGGTGTGTACATATTCGACAGCTTTTTATGGTACAATTGAACCTCAAAGAAATTCACCAAAAAATAACAATCATACAAGAATTTTGTGTCATGCCCTTCAGCTTTGTTGGGTTTGGTCCGACTTGAAATAATAATAAATATTTATCCATCTAAATAATACATTGTGACCTTATATGGATTGATTATTTTAAAAATAACAGTAGCACTACTAACATGTACATTGTGCACGAAGTTGTATAGATTTTTGAGAACTGGTCAATTGTATGAGTTGGAATATATTAAATTTCAACACTTATTTGATCACGTCGTTAACGATCTTTATACAAATAATATCATACTTATCAAATAAATTATTAAATTAACGCAAATAGTTGAACTAGTAGATCCCAATACTTTTTATTACTCTATCAATAACTTTTAATCGTCTTTACATATTCTTTTCTTATCTTATTTGTTAGGTCCTTCTGAAAGAAGATTAATTTACATTGGAGGAAAAAACGATTAGTTCCAATATTAGTTTGGAAAACCTTTTTTTTGGATATAAGGAACACCATTCAGTTACATGTTGAAGTATTTGTAATGCAGTAGACCTTCTATCAAGGCAGATTTTGTTTTTTGCTGATATTTTTTTATTTTAGTAGATGTAATTACATTATCCTGAATATTGGAGATAAGATTTATTATTTGATTTATCAGGAGTGTGATCATCTAATATGTTTTTTTTTTTAATTTTTCACCAATTATTGATTCAGATGGAACTTATTTCGTATAAATCTGTCAATCGTGTAGAGTGAGGTGAATTCGTGTCAGATTTTAACGGGTTTATTTTAAAAGTATTCACCTATATCAAATTTGTTTATTTATTCGTATCTAAAAAATCGTATCATATCAGGTTTATGTTGTACGTGAATCATGTATAACTGATGTATAAACGAGTCGTATCGTGTATTTTTTTTTATTGACTTCACATATGCCTTATTTGTTTATTAATCATGTTGTATCGGTCCACTCATTTGCAAAACGAATGACTTAAAAAATATCAAAACTCTCTAATTTCGTATTATATTAACGGGTCGTGTTATATTTTGACACCTCTAATTTTACACAAGTGAATTTTTGATAAAAGAATTTATCAAATAGAAAAATTAAAAAAAAAATAATAATAACAATAAAAGAGTTGTATGAATCAGCAACTATTTCGAAACATAAACTGAAATAAAGAGAAATAATGCCCATTAATTGCTTTCCTTTCCAGAAAACAATGCGTAGAGTAACTTCCTAGGGAATTTTAACCTTACACTACTCTACTTCTCTTCCACACTCAAACTCCTCCCAAAATCTATAAGCCTCTCTCTCTCTCTCTCTCTTATCCAACCAGAATCTTAATCCATCTACATTGAAAAATTCTAAGATCTCAACTGTCTGAGAGAAAAGATGTGTTGTGGGAGTAGGATGTGCATGTTGTGCACTTGCGTGATACTTGTGGTGATAGTGATCGGGATGTTGTTTGGGTTTGGGGTCTTCAAAGACGGGTTTCACAAGTTGAAGGACATATTACACTACTGTGAGCCATCCAGCATTAATGGAAACTCCAACCACTGCTATTCTGGAAGGCCTTTCTTGGGTGTTCCAGCTCCTTCTCCTTTCTAGACTTGATTTTCTCTCTCATTCTGTCAAAATCTTTTTCATCTTTGAATTGGATTTGTGTTGGTTTAGAATTCTTGTTTTTTTTTTTTTAGTGATGGACCTGCATTTAAGTAGTGTTTTATCAGGATTTCTTTTGATTTTGTGTTCATTCCTTTGGTTCTGTCACGGGTAATAGAATCTTTGGGTCTTGATTGATGTGATGATGGATTTTTTTTTTAATTTTTTTCTCGTGGATAATGTGATTCGATAAAAATTGTGAATATTCAATGTTGTTTTTATAAAACAGATCATATCCCTTTGAAATTCAAATTGATATTCATATATGTGTAGATCACTATTCATATCCCTTTGAAATTCAAATGATATTTAAATTGATATGTGTAGATCACTATTCAGATATTACTTCTAAGTAAGGTTAGTTTGGCAACCGAGAAAAACAACTATTGAGTTATCTTCCGATACATTTTAATCCCTATAACGGAATAACTTTAATCATCTGCTAGGCATTAGGTATAAATAACTTGTGCGAAATGTCCAATACATTTTTTTGGTCCATCATTGGTTAAGATTGGATCCATATTTTTTGATACTTTTCACGACCCATTGGCTAGGATCAAATGAACACGAGCATCATGTATTCAATCAATCCACAACTTCCTACTACGGTGTGACGGACTTACAACTTTTAGTACATAAGCCACCGTAGTTCAATTTTAAATCATATTAAAAATCAATATAAGTTGGTCAAAAACTTAACATTTATCCAAGTTACAACTCAATCGGAATTAAATTACGACCAAAAAAATTAAAATGGCTCATAACATTTACAATTTTTACTTCGGCACTACATCAAAACTCACCCTTTGATACCTGCGTTTCTCCTTTAGGTTGATTACTACTCCAGTGGTGGTGGTGGATGAAGAGGAAGGGGAAAGTTCACATTGATATTTCATTTGATGACAAAGGTGATAGGTACTACTAAGAAACAAACACCAAACTTCTTTATCATGCCCACGGGAGGGGTGGATAAGTCATTTAACTCTCGGATCGGACTGCTATCCCTCTTCCATTTATCGATAAACCAATCACCCAACATGCATTTTTAAGGAACCTACCATTTATAAATGACTCCCTGCATAATGCATGGTGTATGATTAATTCGAAAGCTAAACGGAATTCAAGTAATCCGAATCAGATACAGACCAAATCCCAATGAAAACTAATCTAACGAAAAAAATCTGCACTAGGTAAAGGAGAAAAACTCCCCTATGTCGAGTCCAAAGGCCAACGGACAACACTATCGAATCATCTATTGAGAATACATGTATAATCTTCTAAACAATATTGCTGACAATCAGACGGAACATAAACTTTTTTTCTGTTAAAAACAAAAAAAATCAGCAGATACAGATTTCTCTTTAAACTAGTATCCACATAAATTCGAATACACCTTCTCATTTATCTCCATCGCCCTGTTCCAACCCATTCATTCTAACATACCATCTATACCCAAATGTGAAAGTTATAGAGGGATGATAGACTTACCCTTCAAAGTCTAGAGTTCCCGATATTTGTCCCGGCGTGTCTTACCTTGCTCGTCAATAAGTTGAATCAAGTTCTCCCTTATTGACCTTTTCTCCTTGGACTGGGACCCAGAAGCACTGGACCCTTTTCAAAAGATTCATGAGTAGTGTCAAGAATGACAAAATCGGTTAAGTGTAGGAAATGGGCAGTGTGGGTAATGTAATTTATGGAGAGAAATGTGAGAAAATGACGAGATTTGAGGTTTGATGGAGTTGGACTTGGGATGGTGGATTCTCAGTGCTGAGAAGAAAATCTGAAAACTGTAGCGAAAGTCCATTATATGACATCCCCTTAAGAATGTTGTGATTCAAACAAAACCTTTATATAGTCCATTATATAATATGACCAGAAGATAACTGCCATTCAAATAAAAAGCTTTTGTAGGGCCTCCAGCAAACAGTCAGATGTCAGCAAAATACGTCTGACAGTACCATTCCAAACGTTCTATAAATATTTATAGTCAAAAAATTGAACAAGAAGCTTTGCACTTCTCTCAGCCGATTGAAGAAACAAAAACCTGTTCAGTAAGACAAACTCACCAAAATTTTGTTAGATGTACAGTTGTATATAATCAGTACAGCTGAAATTCTATAACACCACGGACAAAATTTCTCTAGACAAACCCATTGGGCCTCTCTCCACTCTTTGCTGATCTCTTCTGTATGTCTGCATCATAATGCGCAAATGCAGCATCTAATGCCTGCACCAAGATGTTCTTAGGTGTGAGTTGTGGCAGTGGGTAAGTGTACTAGCATGATGTCATCAACTCAAATTATCGCAGTTTTAACCAAGTGGAAGTCTTTTAATAGCAGGCTCTATGCCACTTTGTTTGTGAAACAGTTCAAACCCAAGTCATCCATAACGGTAACTAAATGCCAAGCAGAGGAACAAGAGAGATACACTTGACACAACAAAAAAAGGCAGATGAGTGAACAAGCTTTTAAGTTAGATCCCAATGATTCTGTTGAGCAAGTCAATCAAGATGGGGAGTAACTCATGAAATGCCATACAAAATACACTTGAAATGTGCTCAAATTCAAAAGCAACCTGAAGCATTGGTTGAACAAGGAGGGAAACTTGATGCCGGAAATCGGATTGCACAGACTCTTTAATCTCCTGAAATTTGATACAAAAAATAAATTAAACTAAACATACTTGGAGCGATCAGGATTCCTAACACAAGGTAGGCAATGAGAATTGGAACTTGAACCCTATAGAAGGAGACCGATGCGGGAGATACCTGTAGCTTTGGATAGATTTGTGACATGGCATCCTTCAGTCTGCTAACCTGAAGATCAATGACCAAAGGAAAAAGACATAAAGATGACGATAAACCCATAATAAGATCAAAAAATAAAATAAACTACAACCCAGGAAATCAAATGGAAAAAAAAAAAAAAAACAATTCTGACCAAAGAGACGCTAAAATTCTTTTTGCACTTCACCTAATCATAACTGGTCTATACAGCACCTGCTGCAACCATTGCTGACCTCTTCAAAATCCCATCCCTTACAGCATTTTTTCCAACAAACTTCTTACAGGGGAAAAAGTATACCCAGTCTTTACTCACTTGATATATTAGTGTTTAATACTATTAGTAATTTAGTACCATGTCTCTTTTTTCTTGTATGTATGTGTTTTTTTTTTTTTTTGGGGGGGGGGGGGGGTTTGATGAATTGAATCTCATGTACCTCCAGTTCAAACATTTTTTAATACAATTCCAATACCAGTCTTCATCCAAAATAAAGTTTTAAATATCAATTATCGATTTGAAGCTAGATAGCATTAACCAACCCAGTCAAACAAAACAGATTGCGGAAATTACCTTAGTAAAAAGATGTGTAGTTGTAATAGGATATGAAGACCAGAAATGCTTCAGTAGCTCCTGAATAGACATCCAATGCTGGAAACCAGAAAGTTGTTTCTAATTAAAATAAAGAAATGGAGGATTGAGAACTGTAACAAAATATAGAATGTAAAATGAATGTCTCTTTGCATTCACATGCAAAGCTACTAATTTTTTATCCATCAATTGCAAAATAGAAATATCACAGTGAAACTAATTAATGCCAACTCACATGTAACAATTCCTGTTTAGCGACGTATGGCAACCTATCTAAGACACTCTCATGCGGGTTCTTCCCAAGATGATACTTGGTGCTTGAAATACTCTGGGTCAATCCATTGAGAACCTATATCACAATATTGAACAGTTACCTTCTCCTGCATTGACATTAATATTCATGCATACTCTCTTTAACATGAATGGTAATCAGTAAAATAAGTTACAACAAAACATTATTACCTTAAGTGCAACTTCAGGTTTAACAATGGAATCATTCAACCCCGAGGTTTTGATCTCAGAAATATAATCCCTTAAAGAACCATATGCTTCAGCAGTGCTCAGGCTACATTTCATCTGTTTAGCCCCAGCCAGTGTGTCTCCCAGAGATTTTATCGCATTAGCTTGTTGAGAATCAAAGTAGTCACGAGGATCCTGCTTCAGAAACCAAAACATGGGATACCTCTATGATACCAAAATTAATGCATTTCACGATATGACAAAGTTAAACCTTGATACAAAGTGGTGCAACAGCGAGGTCACGAGGTGCCTGAAGATCATCGATCTCTGCCATCCGAGATATCCTGTCCAAGCGCTCCTGGTTAATATTCCCATCAGACACTTCATCAGTTAAATCATCTGCATACAAAAATCGATACAGTTAGTGTGGACCAATTTTTATTTTGAATATGGATAAAATAAAGGGAAAAAAATAACATTAAAATGCATTACAGAAGGAAAAGTGAACTATGCTAACCTTGTTTAGACCTGGCAAGTGCTTCAGCTACGGACCTTGTGTCTCCCAACTCCACATCTACAGTCAGATTGACAAACCAGAAATTTGTATTTAATCAACTATTTTTAGAGAAATTAAATTCCAAGAGGAAAAAGAAGAATCCAAAAGAAACCTTAAAAATATTCCATTATCCAAGAAAAATGAGTCATTTTAATTTGTTTGGTAACTAAAATGAAAATGTGATCATTGAAGATTGATGAAGATATTACAATGGGAGCCCAAAATATGCACCTGTGGGTGGGAAAAAGCAGCACATCAAGAATGTGAACACCTCCTAGAATGCATCCTAAATTGCCTTTACTACAACTCATAGCCCAAAAGTAAGTCCAAGTCCAACAGGCAATGCTATCAGCAATGCCTTGCAGCACAAAGGGCCAAACACACCCAAAGGGACATCTACTCGCAAATTCTAGACATCTCAATAAAACCTAACCCAACAATTTGGTAGGTCTTGATAATAGCAAAATGCTTGTCCAATCCTGTCTAAGGTATGCGTCATTGGTGGACTTAATTCAAATAGGCGCATGAAACATTGTCTCCTATTAAGGGCCTAATTGGGAGTTGACTTCCATGGTATCTCAATCATTTGAACCCAAAAAGACAAACAAAGGGAAGTGTTCTTCAAAACAATTCCCTAAACGATTCCAGATTCCTAAACAACTTGAAATAATTTTTTTTTTACAAAATCCAAAAAAAAAAAAATCTTTTTACAAGCAGATTTTTCAGAGATTAAGGCAACATTGTCCTAAGGAAGCTAAAGTTAAGGAAGAGCCTTACCTATAGCTCTTCCTTCAAGAACAACCGCTGCATGCCGGTTAAGTTCTTGCAGAAGAGACCTTCTGTATAGCTCATACGGTGAGTCAGTCACATCCTTGCTACCGTCGCAAGATAGCCCATGATCCTACATTTTATACAACAGCATCCACATATGAAAACCTGTAAGTTTAAAATTTAGCAAGTTACATTTGAAAAAAAAAGAAGAGAAAAGTCCTCTATGCAATCCACATAAGGTCCACACATTTCCAAATATGTATGCACATTCAATAACATGAACACAAAGGGAAAAATGTAATTTGCTTTCAAAAGCAGAAACCGTAGAATCTCGTATTTACTAGGGAAAGGAAAAGGAAAAGTGACATGTGCTCAATACTCATGCAATCACCCCTACTTTACCAGGTATAATGAAATGAAGACATATTATCCTGAATATGAAAATCAACCCTTTCAAAAATGCTCATTCTATTGCAAAGAACATATATACACCACTACTGAAAACCAAATCCCACTACTTGCAGCGATCGTCCATACAGGCCCAAGCAATAAGATTGCAGAAAATAGGTCTAATGTACCGGAAGATGTGTGTAATCATCCCCTTCATCAGCTTCCATGTCTAAAGTTGGATCGACCCTTCTGATCTGCAAAAAAGATAACTAAGTTATAATTGATCTATACTGCACAACTAGTTTCCTTGTAGTGTTAAAACATTAACCTAAATAATGCAAAACCCCAATCTTCTAATGTAGAGCACCTTCCGCCGAGCTTCACTTGCTGCCATGTCATCTTGCTTCAAGAAAACAGCCAGCTCATCATCTTCTGCAGCCTCTGCTGCAGCCACAACAACATTTTTCGTACTGTGCAAGTATTCTGCTCTTGAATATTTCGTCCAGAACTCCTTTTCTGTCATCTGGAATCCAGAAAATGTATACAATAACCCCAATGTAGAAGTTAGCTTAAAGTTAATGAGAAAAATACAAAAGGAGGTGATCTTTGAGGAAAAAAAATATTGCCACAAAAAAGAGAAAAAAGTTGCACATTCTCTAACCTTGCTCGGAACAAAATTTAGAAATGCCTGGCGTACAGCCGGTTTCTCAGCAAAAATCTGAAAGTCAATCCAACAATAAATAAGAGGGAGAAGAAGTAGATGACTACTGAGTCACAATGATATTATGGACAATCCTAACCAATAACTAACCATGCATAGACAGATATGCATCAAAGTACAAAATTTTCTATCGTATCAAGCTGGGCACACTTTAGTCACCGGTTTATAAACTACTCAAAATGCATGACTAATCCATGTCACCAATAGTGAGGAGCAAAAAGAATAACACAATCAAGTTCTGCAAGATGTAAATTTACACAAGTCAGGTAGGACAACAACTCTCCTCCCCTTCATTCTCTCTCCATCCTTTATTGGAACATCCACTTGAATCCAATCCAACATCTTCCCTTTCGCTTATCCCGTTAGAACTCTCTTTTGGTTTCTCAATAAATAAAGAATACAATGAATCAACGAAAGCAACTTTCCCCCCTTTTCAATGGGCAACAAAAGCAAGAGATATATCGTAATATTTTCCATTTGCTTTCATTTGCCTTTCACATATTTAAGCCAATCTTAAATTTATTTTTCTCCCCTAATTACATATTTACTCGGGCATCAAGCACATAGATATCAAAATCGTAGATGCCCTAGCGTCGTCCCACATACCAGGGTCGTACGATCAGAAATAGAGTGGATTCACAAGCCAAATTGTTCAAATTGACCGTCCCAAATTGTAACTAAAACCCCTAAACCACGATCCAACAAATCCCCAATTATAATTCTAACCCCAAAATATATCCCTGGTTATTTCTTTAGTTTGATGATTGTTAAATTTATATCTTGTTATGTTGTGATTTGCATTTGTTTTAGTAACACAAATATGCAACTCCTAACTTTTATTATTGACAACAAATAGTCAATATGTTGAGTTGAGTTGTAGCCGGCACGTGTCTCAGATTATGCGCCTTAGAATTTTTATCCTTTTTGATATAAATATTAGTTAACCATGTGTATATGAATGTATATTTATATATAAATGTATATAGTGGTGAAGCGATCTCAATAAGAATTACAAAGTGAAATATGACCCAAAACAACATATCAACTAAGTTTATCCCCACCATAGCACATATCGAAAAAAGTATCATACCGTTTAAGTGTACCATACACCAATTCAAACCACACTACAATTAATATTGATCAAAGAAGCACAAGTGCCCCAACTTCTAGTACATTGTAAGGTTATTGCCAGTGCAAACAAACAATATAAATACATAATTTACACCCTGCTCCCACTCCCCAAAACAACCACCACCAAACACATTCCATATAGACCTTGGCATATGTGTAAATTGTGGCAAGACAATCAAAGATTCAAGCATGTATAAACATAAGAAAGTGAGGCAACTAGAGTGCTACTCTGCCAAAAGAGTATCACCAAATAATACTGCATCCAATTTACTAAGGCAAGTAGAGTGCTATGCTACTCTGTCAAAAGAGTATCACCACATCATACTAAAGTGAGGCAACTAGAATGCTACTCTGTCAAACGAGTATCACCACGTTATAATGCATCCAATTAATTGACAAATACATGCACATTCCGGAATAGACTTTCATCCACGGTACTAATGTTGACCAAAAGAAAACGTGGCTATGCACCATTATTGATTAAGAATTGCAATGTCAAATAATATAACAGGCAAAGTTCTGGATGAATCAAAAGAAAGAACAAGCCATACCTGGTGAATAATCTCGGGTGTCAAATTAAAAGTAACTTTGTTAGACTGAAAAAACAACATTCAAAGAAAATAAGCATTATAGAAATTGCCAGAAGTTACCAAAACTAGAAATGAGTCTACTTAGTAAACAATGCACCTCAAGTAATCTTGCAAGTAAAAAACAGAACTTAGAATTCATAGCATACGTTTCAAACTTCACGAGAGAGAGAGAGAGAGAGAGAGATCTATGTTATACCTGACCATCAGAAGATGGTTTGACATGGAACATGTCATTTCTCAACCCCACCTGTTGTTTTGACTTTCTGCTGGCATTCTCATCCAGCAACTTCTGCACTTTATCGTAAAATAAACTTTTCTGTTACAGCTTTCCCAAGAGTATATCTAACTAATAAAAAGAGCACATCTCTCCAGGTAGACACACATGGGCTCAAAGTTCAATTCACTTATCCTAAAATCCATGCTCATAGAAGCTGACATATTGGAAAAAAAATAACCAATAGCTAACCTTTCTTGTTGCCCAAAATTCAGCCTCTGATAGGACACCTCCAATCACTAATTGCTTATGAAGTTTCTGCAACTCACTGCAAATGATACCTTATCAACTAAAAGAGAAACTTACATATGAAGAGACGAAATACTAAATTCAGCAGCCAATGATACAATGAAACTGGACATTTTATCAAAAGTTCTGTTCATATTTCACAAGAGTATGCCAACTGTTCCATAGGAATTCAGACATTACATAATTTGTAGTAATTTGCACAATGATACTACCTTGAAATCCACCTGGCATATAGTTTCAGAATAATATGTTTATGCAAAAGTAAGTAACTGATAAAAATGAACAACAAGATTCTTGTAGTCACAAAGTGCATAAGTTGAACAATAATTTGCAGGGGAACAAACAATTTTTGTCAAGATAACCGGAAGTGAGTTTACCTATCCTCCTGCAGTAGTCTAATCCGACGCTCCATCTCTGCATGGCTAAGTTGTTCATCTTGAAGTGGAGCAGCTGATCTCTCAGAACCAGCTCTTCCAGCTTCTCCGGATACTGCAATAGCTGTTGCTGTTTGCAAGTTAACAGATACAAAATCTTCATGTGAACAATTTCATCCAATATAGGCTACCCAATTCTATAAGAACTTTATCAAATCAAGACAGTATATTGAGGTTGATTATTCCAAACACTCTAGATGGTGTCCAACTACATACTTAATTACAGTTAATAAGAGAGACTTACCAACATATTCACGGCAAGCATCACGATCAGAAAAAGTGTCAAATTCAAAAATGTAATTTCCTCCCTGGACACAAATAAGATTTTTATGTTTAAGTCACTATAAGTGAAGCAACAATAAATATGCTTAGTTAGAAACAAAAAAATATCAATATATCATGAAAAATATTGTGCAATATCATGTAACGAACACTCATAGATGGAGTTCAACCTAACTGCCATAAGATTCAGCAACTGAACAAATTTAAAGAATTCCTAAAAGAACTATCTATAAGGTAATATAGCAGAGGAGAAACCTGATCCACTGTGAGATTAAGCAGGGCCTGTTTGTTGGAACCCTCCTTGGTAAATTTGTGCCCTGAAAACTCACAACAAAGATAGATAGAAACACATTAACAACTTTGTCACAAAATAATAAGATGTGTGCTAAACAAAATGGACAATAAGATGGATTAATTAAAGGAACACTCAGCTTCCTACATCCAAAGCAATCCCGACGAACAGTATGACAAGGCGCATAGGTATTTTCGCAACAATTTTGACAAGGCGCACAGGTATTTTCGCAACAATTTTCCCATTTTCATCTATAAACTGCAAAATAGCAATCAAAGACAACTCTTTTGGCACTACTTACATCTCATCCTAACCATCCAGCACTTCTAGCAAAAAAAACTCATAGACTGTAACATTGCATCATCTTGCAACTAACAATTGAAAACTCACCTAAAGGATCAAGTGCATTAACAAACAAAGTACCTTTAACCAATCTAAACTCTACATTAAGCCTTGCAGATGATTTCGGATCATTTGGCATAAAAAAAAACCTCTCCCGAGTCTGCACGCAGTAACAACAATAAATTAGCAAACAATGAAGCATTTACACATGTAGAAACTTTGCTCAATTATCAAAAAACATTACCATTTTCAGAACACCAGGAACTCCAAAGTCCTTCACTGACGATTTATACCTTGCACGCTTTATCACCTGCCCGTCAGTCATTTCCGGCGATCAGTGTCGTAGGAATTGACAAAAAATAAACTTTTCCTGTACTGGTACACAGGATTTAAATCAATCAATTTGAGAATCTAATTTATATGGTAATCTGAATTTAAGAGTGGGTCTAGGGCAATACAGAATGAATCAATCAGGCAACACCAGATTGGGACACTGGGATCTATCTAGGGTTTTTAAATTACAGGACAGTAACTAGTAATGGCCGGATTTGGGGAAGAAGGAGGAGAGATCGGGAGTGAAGAAGGAGAGGTGTCCGTCTCGTCGTCTTCTCACTCACTGGCTTTCTGGGCGCCAACTAAGAAAATCTATTCGTACACAGAGACCTGTGCTCGTATATGTATATATAGATGAGCTAGGCGGCCATCGGGGCTATTAGGAACGAAATGACGAAATTATCCCCACGAAAGCTTTAATACAAATAAACCGCTCTTTGTCCCAATTCTCCGAACTAGTTGGAAGTCCATTTCTGTAAGATGTCAATTTTATCCATTAAAATGGATACACACGAATTTGACTCCACATAAAATAAAAATTTCTGTGAGAGTTCAAATTTAATAGAGTGATTAAACAGGTGAGATTCTAAGAATTCGAAAAAAAAAAAATTGACATTATGAGACACCATTTAAAGGCATGTTAATTAGAAACGGTTCAACATGTCTACGTATCTCCATAAAAAAAGTCATAATTATAGCTATGCTCAAAAAGTATGACACGAGTAACAATTATTTCTTATAAATGCCGAAGGAAAGGAAATAAAGGCTACAGAAAAAAGATCAATTAAATTAACCCAACAACTACACACAAGTATATCAAAGCTTTGCTTTGTTCAGTATTGTCGGAGCATGTGATCGGAGATCTAGTCTCTGTCGTCGGAGGATGTGGTCTCTGTTGCCATGAATCTAGTCGCTATCGCTCGATGTGGTCTCTACACCGTTGATTTGGTCGCTCGTGAGAGCCCACGTGAGAGAGAGGGGACTCAAACGGTGAGTGTTAGTGTGGGGAAAGCAAAGAAAGACATAACAGACAGTAGTGCGCTAGTAGCGGTGCGTTCGCCATCACAATTATTGGTAGTGGATCTGGTATAGTTAGTTGATGACAGAAGAGAGGGAGAGAAGGCGCCAGAGAAGAAGTGAATAGGCGTGAATAATGGAGAGAAGTTTAGGCCATGGGATTTGAAATCGTTAATGGAGAGAGGGATTTGGGTGTCAATTTCGGGAGATAGGGGAAGAGAGATAAGAGTGTGTAAAATGGAAAGTTTTTACTTAAAAACAAAACAAAAAAAAATCCAGACCCAAAAAAAAAAACCTAGAAATTAGACTGGTCGTTTGGTAACGATTTTATTTTAGTATTTTTTAAAAAAAAAATAGAAATAATTTTTATTTTATTTGATGATAAATAATAAAAATAAAAATATGTTTGAAAGTTATTTATTTTTATCTTTTTAGGAAAACAAAATAAAAAAACATATTTAAGTAATCGGTCAAAGTTATACAAATACAAATCAATATTTATAATATCACGTACAATAAAATACAAATTAAAATTTATTATATCAAAAGATTCATTAATTCATCAAATAACACATAAAATAAAATAATTAGATTAAATAAGTCATTAAACATATCACACATTCAACACACAACACACGCTCAACAAATCAGCACACACAAACTCACACACACCGATACAGAACACATAAAATGACATATAATTGTTTAGGGGAAAAAGAAAAAAAAAAAAAAAGATGGAGACCTATTCAATGCCTATATAAAGCACATATATACAGATATATGTATATATATGTAATATATATATATACATAGATCTAAAAATGTTTACCCTATTGTGCACAACGAGAGACAAAAAGATTGGTGGAATTTCTGCATAGATGACTTCTTCGGATTCTGGGTTCAAAGCATCAAGGAACAAAGCTTCATTGCCTTCTTCGAGTTTGTTTGTTCTTCGACCATCTTCGTCGTCCAGAACAGAGAGATGAGAGATGTGTGTGCGTGTGTGTGAGACCAGTGCGAGACAACAAAAACCCACAATTTATACCTACATAACAAATAGGACTAATTTCAACTTACACCCTAAAAGATTATTCGAGTTTTAATTTATACCCTCAAAGTTTAAAAATATCAATTTATACCCTAAAAGACATAAATTTGTGTTAATGTGCACCAGGAATTAGCTACCATCCATTTTGCTGTTAAAAAGGTTTGAAATAATTACAAACTACACCTTTAAAGTTTAAATATTTCACATTTATGATTAAAAAAAATTTATCCATTAATACTTGTTAAATACCTCTCAATTGTGTCGTATCATGTTATTTTGTATCATGTAATATCATTTTCGTGTTGTGTTCAAGTCGATAAAAAAATATTTTTAACACAAAATATTTTCGTATCGAGTCAATTGCATTATGTCGTATATTTCACATTTACGACAATTTATATAATAATATTTAATATTTTTTTAAAATTACAAAAAATACTTATTTTTTACCTACAATGCTCATTAAATAGCTATTTTTTTCTACAGTCGTGTTATTCAAATCTAACTATAATTTGATCGAACAGAAAAATTTGTGTCTAATTGTAGACAAAAACTATTTAACAAGTATAATAAACAAAAAATATGTATTTTATAATTTTTTAAAATTTTTAAAATAATTTTTTATTGATTCGAACATGACACAAAAATGTTATGATATGATACAATTGAGAGCTAATTAACGAGCATTAATGAAAGAAATACTATTTTTGGATCATAAATATGAAAATTTTGAGCTTTAAGGCTGCAATTTATAATTAATCCAAACTTTTTTAACGACAAAATGGATGACAGTTAATTTGAGGTGCACATTGATACGAATTTATGTCTTTAAGGTGTAAATTGATATTTTTAAATTTTGAGATTCAAGTGATCTTTCAATATACAAGTTAAGATTAGCCCTAAAAAAATAATCCAATGTTGTTGTTAACAAGGTTCGAGACCTCATTAAAAATTTGGGAGAATTATACTCAGACCTTTTGAGATTTGTCATTTAATCACTTAGATCCTCTGATATTTGAAATATTATACACAACCCCCTGAGATTTTGTATGCGACTTACACTTAGACTCATATCGTCAATGTGTTAATAAATCCATTAATAAATTACATCCATAACCCTTAAAGTTTATAGCGTGTAATACTTAGACCACTCAAGTTTGAAATATTATACTTAGATCAAAAATACTTCAATTAAAAATAGAATATCAAATATTTTAAATTTTACAACTAAAATTCATATTCTATTATTAAATTTATTGAAATAAAATAAAAAATAAAAATCTATTTTTTTAAAAAAAATCATAATTAATATATAATCATACTATCTATTGGAATTTAATTTAGTCATTTAAATGACCAAATTACTCCAATTAAAACTAATATATATTATGTTCATTATAGTTTGACAGTCTTATCTTACTCAATAGCTCGCGTTTGTTCAGTTGAATGAATGTGAACTAAAACCTCTCTGAATGCTTCATCCGTTACATGTTGCCTTCTCCTCCAGGTTCCCCGTCTACGATTCTTGGGGCAGAGCCTACTAATAACTGATACATAAAGGCGCATCGAGCTAATATAGCTGCAGTTACTTAGACCATTTGGTCATTTAAACGACCAAATTATCTCAAGTAAAATTAAAATATATTGTGTTCACTATAGTTTAACCCTTATTTAATTTTTTAGTTTTATTTCAATAGATAGTATAATTATATATTAATTATGAATTTTTTAAGAAAAAAATAGATTTTTATTTTTGATTTTATTTCAATAAATAACATAATAAAATATGAATTTTGGTTTGTAAAATTCATGTTATGTTATGAATGACTTAAATCTCATGCTTGATTTTTTTAGTTTTGTTTCAATAGATAGTATAATTGTATACTAATTATTATTTTTTGAAAAAAATTTGACTTTATTTTTAATTTTATTTCAATAAATGATACAATAGATAATAAATTTTGGTTATAAAATTTAAAATATTTTATATTCTATATTTGATTGGGATATTTTTTGTCTAATTATAACATTTTAAACTTAAGGGGTGTAAATATTATATATTTATAAACTTTAAGGGGTCGAAATTTAATTTATTAATAGATATACTAACACACATTTTGACGACAGGGGTCTAAATGTTACGTGTATACAAACCTTAGGGGATTTGTGTGTAATATTTTAAATTTTAGGGGGTTTGAATGATTAAATGACAAATCTTAGCGATCTGAGTATAATTCTTCCTAAAAAATTTTGAGGTAAAATTCGCGTGTTTCAGTTTTGGGTTGTTTCCCAAAACATCAGTTTTTTATTCCCATTTTTTTAGCTTGTTTCTAAGACAACGTAGATGAAACAAAAACAAAAATAATTACCAAACACATTTTTTTTTTTTTTACAAAAACTCAAAACAAAAATATAAAATAGCAAACAAACAACCCCAAAGTTTTTTGGGCGATATAAAATTTTGAGAATTCATTTTGGTGCGTATAAACAATAAATTTTGAGATAATCTGAGATATTAAATGGTAGTTTGGTTGGTTTTTTGGGTTTGGATTGGTTTGTCCAAACCCTTCGAATCCCAGAGATGAGATTCAACATTCAATGTAGTCCATATCCATGATTAGTATGCGCATGGATATATGACTATTATGATAATATATTTATATATAAATCACTATTGTGCTCCTTAACTAATTTAATCCAAACTAGTGTTTGTTTAGGTACATGAGTTTTATGGGGGTATAAATGTTATTTTGTATATTAAACCCATTAAGCCCCATATGAAACCCATGAACTTGGGTTTAAATTGCGGGCTGAGTTTAGTAAATTGGGTTACAAATGTAGATGTCAAACATGGGTTTGTTGGGTTTTGTGGACTTTTATTCCTCAACCCATCTTCCAAATCCCTCCTTGTCCCACATACCAAACAGGTCCTAATAGTTTGAGACAAATCGAGATAGTATCGTCCGTCGGATGATTTATTTATTTTTTTATCATAAAACGAGCTTAGTCGGTTTTTTGTCTTTGAATTCAAAATTTGTTATATTTTATTATATAAACTAGCAATTGTTTGTGTCTAAAGATACTATTTAACAAACAAAAAAATTACAAGCAAGCTTGAAGACGGTATATAACATAAAATATAGTCAATCAATCAAACCACCTAAAACTACCTCCAACTATTCAATCCAATATGTTTTAGAATATTTAGTACATCATAATATTTAAAATTAGAAATAGTGATACATTTCATAGAATCAAGACTAAAAAAAATGAAATCTAATATTGGATCTAGAAGATGGATAGATTTACAAAATTGAATAAAAAAGAAGAGGATATTATATTAGTCACAAAAATCAAATACCAACCAAATGCAAATTGAAATTCATCCCAAACTCTCGCAAAACATTAGATTCATAAGAGTATTTAACTCAGTTTTCGATGTAGAGAATATCCATTAGTTAACATAGTTATGTTAAATCCATATAAAAAACGTATGAAACAAAAAAGAATATAAAGCTGAGACCTTAGCCTGATATTTAATCAAAGTCCAACACTCAAATCTGGGTTTTTTAATTTGAAACTAAGCATGATCACCTGTGAAAAGATTGAGATAAAATCCAGATTGAATTTGATGGAAACTTATCATCTTTTTAGTGCTTGTTTTGAATTAATTGCTTCATCTAGGTGTGTGAGTTTGGAAAATATATCATCTTTTCGGTTTGTCAATTTAGTACAACAACAAAAGCTCTTTGCTTTTTGAGTTTAGAGAGTAGGTTTATATGGCCCTAGACTAGAGTGCCTACTTTTTGAAATTATTTAGCATATTGGGAATGGCATAAATTCTACAGTTGAGGCTTTACCTGACCAAGATTGATGATTTATGTTATAGACATTGGAACGCCTATGGTAAACTTGTATACGGGTTCTAGTTTGATGGATTCGATAATGCCATTTGAACATGTTCACTCTACTTGACTCATCAAAGTCTAGGACCTTCTTTTCTTCTATTTTCCCTTCTTTTTTTTCCCCTTTTTAATGGATACTTGTTTTTTTTTCCTTTTTAATCCATGTCTCAATTTGAGAATCTCTTTCATAAGAAAAATGTGGACTATTGGTTTACCCCCATACTGTGCAAATTCTAGGACTAGCAGTAAATTTTGCTTTTTTTTTTAATAAGAAACCAATCTAAGGACAATCACTACCTCGCTCCCAAGTAATAGATGCCTAAGTTGATAACAAATAGTCTCAAAAGCATTCCAATGAAATGGCATAACAAATTATGAAACTAATGTCTAGCTTTTGGAGATCCCACCCTTGTGAAAGAGTAATTAGCAAGGAGTTACAGGCAAAAATCCAGCAGGCACCTATAATTGCATATGAAAAATGCAATTCATACCAAAAAGTACTTTTACCAAATGAGTTGGTGGGGTTCAAAAGTGAAATGAAGGTGTGAACTCATTTAGTAAAAATATCTTTTGATAAATATTTTTATAGGCATGACATTAGTCTTGCCATATAGGTAAGTTTCAAACTGCAAATTAGACCATTCACTGGACAAACACATGAGAACAAGCATAGCCTTTGCAATTTTACCTCTTAAAACAGTATTTTTCAGCAGAAAATTCAGCTCAAGGTACAATCAAATAGTATAATGCTCAACATTGTCAAAATCTCTCTGCCAATCTGACAGAAACAGCTCTAAGTTTCAAATAAACTTGCCAGCAGGTGACCCCATGATAAGGCTACAGAGAGAATCTCTTGCAATTTTGACGTTGGCAAAAGAACCCAGTATATGAATTTTGGTGTCTGCAATCACAATTCGAGTCTTCGTAGAGTTCTTAATTGCAAACTTAGTTTTACCCCCTTTACCAAATAATCTTCCAATGGCACGAGACAAGTGCTCGCCTCGAAGGGTTTTCACATCTTTGATCTCAAAAGACTCCACATAGAGTTCGTCCATGAGGAGAACTGCAACGACGTCAATCACGTCGAATCCAAGCATGAAAGTGTGCACAAAACAACACATTTTTGAGGTTACTGATGTCGGGTGTGTCTGATCGGTCTTCAATTCAACCTTGCGAGCCTTGAGATTCATACGAATGTCGATTTTCATCTGCTCGTATATAAGAGTGTAAATTTCCATCCACGCTTTCTTGAGAGGCGTATATCGATGCGGTGGTATAGAGACTTTCCTGAACTGAACTTGACCATCGGATATCTCGTGAGCCTTCAAGGGTGCAAAGTTTGGTTTTGAAGCAAAAGATACATGATTTGATTCAGATAGAACTTTCTCAAGTTCCATGGACGTGGCATCTTCATCGGATTGCATCGTATGATCTGTAAAGAGAGATGTAAGTGCAATCCATAGAGAAAGAGAGAGAGAGAAGGGGAGAGCTGATGAGGAGGAGGAAAGGCGTCGAGGTACAGCTACAGAGCCTGTATCCTCTTCTTGTTCTTTGGCTCACAAAACCTTAGAATGCGATTGCTGAGTGGATTATATGGGGCCAACACTGACCCTGAGAAGGAGGAGATAATTACAATAACGACCTCACTATTTGCATCGATTTGAGGAGGTTACCCTTCGAATTTAAAATATTATAGTGTGCCCTCTCTAGTTTAATGTTAAATTTAGATGACAATTTTACCGTGATGAATTGGTATAAATTATAAACGATGTGTGACTATAACATGGGTAAATTATATATTTGTCCCCTTTACTATGACTCTTTTTAAATATTGTCCCATAAATATCATTTATTTTACATCATACACTTAATCATGTGATTAGTTTAACACCGTCTCAATGATTAACATTCATTATAAATTTAAGAAAAATTGTTTTACTTTTTTTTTTTTCAGAAAAATGTGATTTTTTTTATTTTATCCCAAAACTTAACAATTCCTATCAAAAAGAAGGCAATCATTTGTATTTGGTGTAATGTAAAATAATTTAGGAGATAATGTGAAAACTCAAGGGACAAAAGAAAATCGAGTTCATAAATTCAACGACAAAGAAATATATATAAAAAAAATACTGAATCTTCAACCGAGCCATGGTTTGCCCCATAATTTTATACCCGACCCGACTGAATGTCTAACTCTTCCCTAAAAAAAGGTTAGATGATACCATTTGGCCTAGGGGTGGACATGGATACAAATTTTCGTTACTATTTAATGTCGACATTCTCTCACACATCTCGATGGACCCTAGGCCTTAAAAACGGCCCATGGATTGCAACCTTTGCCAACCAGCCCACACTTCATGGAAGAAAAATAGATCCTACATTGATTTGAAAATATTTTTCCTGTCTAGAAACTTTTTTTTTTACTTGGGAGAATATGAAAGATTTAAGTTTTTTTATTTTATACTCTCAAAAATGAGATTTTTTACATTGTACCTTCAATGTATTAAAAATATTTTAATATGGTACTTCTATTATCTTTAGTTATTTATTCTGTCAAAATCATTTTATTGAGTTGATAGAATGAGTAGTGAAAATTAACAACAGAACTATATTACAATAACTTTTAATATATTGAAGGAAAAATATGAAAAATTGAATTTTTAAAGGTGTAAAATAAGAAATATTAAATCTTTAAGATACAAAATATAATTTACTCTTTTCCTTGACCTAAATCACGCCAAATAATGACGTCACTAAATCTTCCCCTCTGCCTAACGGATCTTCTCCCATCTGCTTTCCAAATTAGAATACTTCTCTCTTCATTGCTTTCCTAATTCAAATACTTCTCTCTCTCTCTCTTCTCTGCTTTCCTAATTCAAATACTTCTCTCTCTCTCTTCTCTGCTTTCCTAATTCGAATACTTCTCTCTTCATTGCTTTCCTAATTCAAATACTTCTCTCTCTCTGCTTTCCTAATTCAATTAGACCTCACACCTATATATTCTCCCTCTCACCCAATTCAATTGTCTCTCTCTGTGCACAACACCCTTCTTTCTTCGCCCGCCCCTCTTCTCTTCTACTCTCCCTCACTTCTGTCTTCTTTCTTCACCTTTTTCAACAACACAGACGCTATTCCCCTCTCTTCACCGTATCGGCCGCCACTCACAGGTCACCAACAGCCACCAACATCTACGATATCTTTCCGCTCTCCCCTGTTTCTCTCGCCACCCCTCTCTTCTCTTCTCTCTCATCACTCTACGCATCTCTGTCTCATCACTGCCTCACCATAACGAAACTGCTACGATGCCCTTTCACGCACCGCCATCGACGCTGCCCAGGTATGTCTCCCTCTCCCTCCCTCTCTGCTCCTTTCCTCTCTATGTGGCTCAGCGGCTTCTTTGATTAACCCGACCATTTTTATCCTTCTAATTGCACAAAACTTTTATTCTTTGCTTGATGGAATTGATCCAGTCTTTGATTTCCCTGTGTGGAATTGGTAATGCGTTCTTGGTTGAATAGAGTTATCACATTAGTTTCGCTTCTTTTTTTTTTAAATTTGATTTAATTGAATTTCATGCTGTTTTTTGATTGCAATTTGTATTGTAAAATTAAATTTAGGTTCTGGTGGTTTTTTTGATAGGCTCTGTATGAATCACAAGATATATAACTAATGCGTTTCGTGAACTATTCCGGTGTTTCGGCCCAAAAAAAAAAAAAACTATTCCGGCGTTGAAACATGATATGGTTAGTGATTTTGTTAATTATCTTTCTTTTCCTTCTCTATCTTACTTTTTTATTAACAGGGTATTACTATAAATTCACGAAGTATATGTGACTGCGATTTGTGAAGCCTTTTGATAAAAAAAGAACAATTCTGGCGGTTGAAACATGATGAGATTAGTTATTTCGATAATTCTTTTTTCTGTTATCTTCTTTGTCTTTGCATTCGTGGTTCGACAATCCCATTTTTCTTTTTTATTTTTAATTTAATAGCAGCCTGGTATGACCAAAACATCTTGTAAATCTATTTGAGCACATGTTGCGATTTTACTGTTCCTCCTAACTTTGGATTACAAATAACTGTTTTGTTCCATTGACACTATGTAGCATTTCTAATTAGCAGTTTGGTTCATATCTTAAAAGAAAAACTAACAACTTATGTAAGTAAATGCATATGATATTTCTATACACATGTATTGTGACAAATGTTTTTCCTCAATTGTGTGTGTTTTGGCATGTATCTGTACTTGTGCTGGAGTTCATATCAGATACTTATAGATAAATTTGTGTTGTTGGATCACTTTGTTCTAGAATTTTGTGTTTCTAAAGAATTTTATTGTTCTCTTTCCCACAACTCTCTCCCTCTCTCTCTGTCTATCTCTAAGCCTCTCTAGCTGAACATTAACTATTTTCTATACTAACAGAGCATTGAGGAATTGAAGCAGAGCTTTTATGCACCATCGTTGAACTTGGGCTAGTAAGCGTGGAAGCAAATGAAGAATCGAGAAAGAACAAGGAATATGAACCAATGGTTTCCAAAAAAATACTAGACGGGTATGGCTACTTCGTTTATGCTTAATTCAGTCGTGCTATATGGATAAAATTGATATTAATTATACTATTTGATTTGATTATCATATATTCAATTAGATTATTTTATTTTATCCATGCACTTAAATGACATAAATCGTAACTTGATTTAATATATGAACCTGATGAATATATACGATACTTACTATCAATGCTAATATTTTGTTTGTAAATCCAATTTATGAGACATGTAACATGATGGTGAGTCTTGGTGTGGTGTGATGGATGTTTCCTCTTACTAATGCTCATTTTTTTATGATTGTTAATTTGTTTGGGTTGGTTTAAATGGTTTGACTTTTTCACATGGCCATAGCTTTGTTGCACTACACCGATTTTTTATCATTGTTGACCTCTACAAATGATTTTTATCAACATGATTTTCTTAAGGTTTATTCCTTGATTTGTACTATGTATAGACATTGAATTGAAAAGAGAACGAACAACTAAGGGAAGTACTCATATTAATATTAGTATTATTCTGGTTATGTACGTACATCTATCAGAGCATGTATTGATTTTTTGGGTTAGTTTTTCATAATTTTATAATAGTCTTTAGTTTCAATAATGTATTTGCGAAGTTTATTTTTGAATTCAGTAGATTGCTTTTTTGGTAATGTTAATGTGAGAAGGTAGCTTGAATTTTAATACATGTGAATAAATGTTTACTATTAAGGGATATTGATTATGTGAAAGTTTTTGTTGCTGAAAAGTAGCCAGTTTGATTTCTATTTTTCCCTTTTCTCTTGTATCATGAAAGTTATTTTTTAATATTACATCACCCGACAAATTTTATGCTTGCTTGTGAGTTCATTATGCAGTTTTTTTGTTCAATTTTGATATTGATGTATTTCTCTTTCCCTTTCTCCCCTATGTATGCACACACATTGACAACACGTATAGAATAATTTAGGGATATCCCCTTTATTATAAAACCTGTCAAAACATAAGTGATATAATTAGCAATCCTTAATAGTTACGCTCCATCATAGCATTCTTATAGGTATAATAATATAATTCGAACTTATTACAATGTACATGTTTGTTACAACACATTAAGTTAATATAAACATAAGTTGGTAATCCGACATACTCGGTATTTATACCACTCGTGTAAATTTGAAAAAAAAAAAACAACATCAACAACTCTGTAAGAAATCTCAATTCTAAGACACACAGGTTCGAAAATAAATACTTTGATATGATTGATATTATAAAGTACATTCATAGCTAATAATGTGAAAACGTTAAACAAAAAATAGTTTATGTACGAAAACGATAAAGTCATACCATTACAGTGTCAAACCAGAGAAAAAATATCCTAATAGATTACTCAGGGTCGATACGACCCATACAATCCAACCTTTTAGGAGTCTTACACCCTAAAAAAGAGACGCTCCCAAATCACAATTCGCCTCAAGTCCGAAGACCAACTGGGTTGCACTTGCATTTACGAACTCAATGAAACCCTCTACGGTTTCAACTTGAAACGTAAACCCTCTGCCACTTGATATTGTGTGCACTTATATTTAATAGAAAAGGATCCTGAGTTCTCTCAATCATTGAACAATTCAAACGATTGTCCAATGCACATTTCCAAACCCTAACTGATCCAGAGTTCCAATTCAATACGAACCACCTGATCATAAGTTCACAAACATGTTAAACAACATTTATAACATAAATGATATATTTATAAAGAGAACGAAAAATCTCGCCAATTTCAGAATTGAAAAACTTTATCTCGATTTGCGTATCGTTCAAAAATTGTAAAAAATAGAAAATGAATGCTATCAATGAAATTCCACACACAACTCTATTTTAACTAATTAAACACGAGTATAAAATTAGTTTGGTCAAACAACCCCAAAATAGGGTCAAACTGGGACTTGAAGGGCAAAATAGTTATCTTACGTGAGATATTAACTTGAAGCGTCAGATCAGGAATTGGAGACCACAGGGGGATTCCTTGGGGAGACAGGAGACCAGCCCCACCAACCAGATGTGGATCAACCACCCCTGCCCTCGCGCGTCGTAGGAGTAGGCTGCCTCCTCCCCCTTTCTTCTTCTTAATTCTTCTTCTTCTTAATTCTTCTTCTTCCGAATTCTTCTTCTTAGTTCTTTTTCCTTTTCAGCTAAGTATCCAACTTCTCTCCTCTTGTTCTCCCTCCATAGTACAACAAATCTACTCCTTGCCAATGCCAATCTCCTCCCTGTATATCCTACTTTCAAATCCATACCCTTTTTGGACTGAATCTCCATATGGTGATCCGATGTTCCGGTTAATATCTCAGTAAGATAACCATTTTGCCCTTCAGGTCCCAGTTTGACCCAATTTTGGGGTTGTTTGACCAAACTAATTGTATACTCATGTTTAATTAGTTAAAATAGAGTTATGTGTGAAATTTCATTGATAGCTTTCATTGTTCTATTTTTTACAATTTTTGAACGACACACAAATCGAGATATAGTTTTTCAATTCTGAAATTGGCGAGATTTTTCGTTCTGTTTACAAATATATCATTTATGTTATAAATGTTGTTTAACATGTTTGTGAACTCATGATCAGGTAGTTTGTATTGAATTAGAACTCTGGACCAGTTAGGGTTTTGAAATGTGCATTGGACAATCGTTTGAATTGTTCAATGATTGAGAGAA